GAGTTCCAGTTAGTTAAAATGTCAAATAAATCCCAATTCACTTGAAAAACACATGCTGTTAACTAAAGTAAATGCTGACAAATTTATTAAAACCTACTTGCTTTGATTTGAATAATTTACCTTGGAAGTCCAGTATTTCTGGGACATCTTGCCTGCTTTAGAGACAGTATGGGTGACTATTTTGCCATCATCTGGTATCCACGGCCCACAGATTCCCCCATGTTTCTGCATCAAGACAACAACATGAAAGTTTGCATACTACTTGAAGTACATTTTCGTCATCAGAAGAAATTACTTCCTAAACAAATGACTCAATCAGAGATTTCAGTAGTAAGTGAGATGTAACAGTACCATGAGTCCGAGGGGGCAGGAGTGGATGTTGGCATGGTAAACACAGCAGTTCATCTCGTTTGCGTTGTTCCAGTTGGTGGGGCAGTCGTGGTCCTGACAGAATCTCTTTGCATCGGCTGGATCACTATGGTTACAAGGAACATTTGGAGAAATAACTTGATCATAATAGAGCAGGGTGGCAAACCTCTGACTAGCTATGCAGAAACCAGCACACAGTTCACAGTTAACAGAAATTATTATATTATTTAGGTAACATTTTCTGAGTGAGTCTAAAGATGGATTGCCGTGGTTAGAAAGAACATTAGGACAAAAACACAATCCAGTTAATGCAGAGACATTTTCTAATGGTAGAATTTTCTGTTCAAGTTTATTGGTATGGTTTATGGTAAATATCTTTGCAGTTATTAGGCAGGAACCAGCACAAAGTTCAAAGTGAACTATGAATTGTATAAGATAAAATTTTGGTCTTTATTTATGGCATAGATTTGAGATTAAAATTGTGTCAAACCTATATTAAAGGTACTATATTGCACTAAACTGACTCTTGTGAGCTTTACGCTGTTATAATCTTGTTACCTCAACAAAAAGATACATGAAGTTGTGTTTTGTTTCATTCACACATGTTTGAGTAACCCTTTATTTGTCTGTCTCCATCTCCAAAGCTCAAAACGCTCTGTTTCACCTTGTTATGTCATGTGTTTGATGAAGAAACATTATATCATAGATCAGAAAATACTGTAATAATCATAGCTTTTTAATGCAACCTGTATACAGCCACCTTCAATCACAAATACTACTAATCATTTTAAATATGTGATTTTTGTATGTTTTTTCTTGCTTTTCTCTTTGTCAAATTGAGCTTGGTAATCATTTTGGACGTTAAATGACAACAAAAGGAAACATACCTGAACTGGAAAATCTTGTTCTTCACAGCGTATTGATAGAAGGAATCTGATGCTGTAACCATGTATGTGACATTAAACTCTTCCCCATTGGTCACTTTCTCTGGAGGCCTTTGTATCCACGCCATCTCCAAACCTATGGAAAATTACTACTTTACAATTCACAATATTGGAAGCTCTTTGGTTTTAATTTATTTTGTCTATACTTACCACCGCAGCTTATCATGTTGTAGTCATTTGGACTGCTGATAGGCCAGCAGTCATACTCAGTGTTGTCCAGGTCATGCCAGCATTTGACTCCCTGTATGATAATTCATTTAGAAATACACAAGAGAACAAAACAAAACTATAGAGAAAATCACTGATGCAACAAAACCAAGCAGTCTGGACAGGACCACATACAGTTAACAGCGAGTGTTTCTGACAAGACAACAAAAGCTTAGCACATAGTATCAAATCCATAGCGTAGACAGCAATGAAATACAAACATCAAGGCAAGACACTACAGCTCAGTTTGCCCTCAATATATACATTTAAGCTTTTTTCCTTCCTATTTTGTATAGGTTAACGAAATGAAGCAAGACGTTTAAACCTGGTTATCATTATTTTAGATTAACATGCCCAAAATACGTGCAATTTTGTCAAATTTTAAACATAAACTGCCTGCATTATAAACTGTAATATTTTTTTTTACATGCAGATAACTAAAGATATTTCAAATTGATATCTTTAAATTTAAGATTTTTTCCTATTCATCTGCAGTGTTTCAATTATAATCATAATCATCATGATATGAGTAAAACTTACGAGCAGGAAATACAAATAAAGCGTCACCACAGTGTCCAGAGCCATCAGGTCCACTGCTCCAGGTACTCCTAAAAACCTCTGACTGAACCAAACCAAGGTCCCACAAGGAGCCCCTGCCCATCCCTCCTCTTTAATTGTCTCATCAGCACAAGAGTCTCTGCAATCACAGCCTCACCACACTCATTTTAAATGCTCTTGACTTCACCTTCACTGCACTATTACATCAATTATACATGTTTGTAAAAATACAAATAAAATACAATAAAAATAAATAAATAAATAAGACATTTTGAAAACAGGTCATTAAATTTTAATGTGCACTATGTAACTTTTGGGTTTGGGTTGGGGTTTTGTCACCTTCTTGTTTCCATAGATATGCCATTGTTCTGCCTAGAATGTTCCACAGTATGACATTAAACAGCTATACCTTACATGTATTAAAGTACAGGCAGTTTTTGCCTCTCCACAGATCTGACCTGTCTGGTCTGGTTTGGCCTCCATGATAATAGAAAGACTTAATATTATACTGTGAAACATTCCAGACAAAGCAATAATATCTCCATGGAGTAAAGCATTTGACAGACCCTCCTCCAGAAAAGTTACAGAGTGCACCTTTAAAATAGCAATAAAAACAAGACAAATTGTATTCATGTGGTGTGACAAGATGAAAACAGAGATTAACTTTATGGACTTTGTAAGGTCAGTGCGTATACCTTATGGGAGGATTGATGACTCGGCAAATACTATAAATAAAGCTGGAAAAACCTTCAAGTCTAACAGTCAGGTGCAGTTATATAATCCCAATGGTAATTGTAGTGACTTAAGGCATTGACTATTTGAATCTGAATACTGGAGAGAAGTTTATGAAGTTTAACATATGGAGTAGGATTGTCAAAAGTATCAATACCCAGATACTAACTCATACTAAAATTATTATTGAAATCAGATACACATTTGAATGGAGGAACAAGACAAAATCTGACCTGAAGTGAATTTAGTTCAGGATTAGTATTAAAGGAGCATTATATAACTCTTCGGTAGGGGATCTGTTACCTTCTTGTTTCAATGGAAAGGCCATTGCTCTCCTTGGAATGTTCCACAGTATGACATTAAACAAATTTACCTTATGTTTAATCAATTACAGGTGCCTCTATTGCTCAAAAATACCTAGAAGAACTGACTGTGATCAGGGTGGCGGCTTTGACGAATCCTCCACTGAAAAAGTTACACAATGCCATTTTAAGACATGATACATGACATGATAATACTAAAGAAACTACTATTATAAAAAATTAAATTTTATGGTGACAGCTAACTCATGTGGAAAGGTAGTTAAACACTTTCCATCTGTTACTTTCACTGTTCGCTGTTTTTTTTATTATAAAATAACACATGCACGTACATCTGTGAAATTTAAATGGTTTTCACTAAATGTCTAATTATGTCTAATTACAGAACAGCTCCAGTTTTACAGTTTCAACATGAAAGTGGGAAGGCAAGCTGGACTTTTACTGTATAGCCTATAGTATAAAACATGGCATTTTTAAATAGCATGTAGAGTAACAAATGTCTTAATTACTATTTTATCATCACAATAACAAATTTTGAAGGATGATATATTGCTATAGAGATATACTGCCATAAACAATCAAATTGAAACTACTTTAACCCACTGATACAATAACAGTAATGCAAGATAATCTCAGTAAAGCATCGGTAAGCAATTTTAAATAGACAGTTTCATTCAAAAGGCTTGAGCGGCAAAAAATGAATAGCAGAATGAACCAATAATTATCCACAGAAGTCAGTTATTCAACCTTATGCAGTTTAAATCTTATTGCATTGCAAAAAACACACAAAATGTACAAAGAAAATGTTAACACCTTAAATATTGATCCCCAGAATATATTGTTGCTGTGTACGCTATGCTAAATTGATATAGTAATTACTCTAACTGCATAAATAGGATAAAAATTTAAGTAGCTATAGTCAACAAATGCTCTTTGCTTGGGTAGTGATCTATATGAGCCCTAAACCCAAAAGGTCAAACACAAATGGACCTACACAGAGCAATCCTCTAATGTGAACCTCTCCAGTGTCATTATTTCATCAAGCACTGGTCAGTTATGTTTGAGTGCTGTTCAGCTTTGTCTATTTTTGTCCTCTGTGAAATTCTTAATGCAGATTTACTGTTGGTTTGTTACATACCACACATAACAAACCCAGAATACGTGTACTACTGAAATATAAATGGAACTATTAAACACTGTACAGTTTAGAACTAGATGTCCCCTGCACAACTGCACATAGCAATAACAGATAGTGTTTATTAATGTAACAGATAAAGGTTTATTAATGTATCCTATAAGATAACATTTTTCCTTCTGCTGTGCAACTGATCACATCTTAATCAAGCTTTAAATTTTGTTATTTTTAGAGAGTGTACAGCCAATCCTCCAAATCCCAAAAACATGTATTTGTTTTAAATAACACAAAATAAAATTGTGTGAATCATGATCCATCTATATCAGGAAAATTAGAAAATTGTAATTGTCATGATGACAAATTTCGAAGCATGATGCATTGCTAGAGATATATTGTAATAAACGATAATATAGAAACTACATTACTACTTTCAATGATACAATAACAATAAGATAAGATAATCCTTGTCAATGATTTTTAAATAGACAGTATCATTAAAAGGCATGGGGCTGCAATGAATAAATAGCAGAATAAACCAATAATTAGCTACAGAAATTACTTTTTTAACTCTCTACAGCTCACATCTTGTCATATTATAACAAAAATACCTCAAATCTCATCAGTTTTACAAAGAAAGTGTATTGAAGGATAAGTCAATAGTAATTACCGTGACAGGCTTATTTTCTTATAACTCAACTTGCACTTTTAAGATGTGTTAAAAATAAAATTACTACATTTGGTGTTTTGTATTTGTGTATTTAGTGAGCTACAAACAGGCTTATCAAGAACAGAGTACAATCCATGGAATACAAGTTTCAGTCAGGTAAAAACAATGAAGTCATCACATCCGGACAGCAGGAATGGTAGCAGTGACATGAACACTTTACAGCAGTTTACTGTTTAGGCAGGGATTCATCACACAGCCTCTGGGCCAGATAGTGAACACAGGTACAAATATACACAGCACATAATGAACCCTTCAATCCAGTGTGTCGCAATTTTTACAGCTCTGCACTTTCAGGTGTGCTGTCTTGCATCACACCAGCCATTACAGACTGATTGTGTTACAGGTAGAACAAGTTTGGTCTGCATGCACTGCTAACAGCCAAAGGGGGAATGAGCACAAATGGGTGACAAAAACTGGAAAATCCTAGTGGGAGTTGTGTGTTTCTTTAGTGTGATCTATGACACTGAGAAAACCAGGTGAAATGGCTCTCAAGTAGTGGTGAGCAAACTTTGCACATAGTCAAATGTTATAAAGTGATATTTCTGCACTATGTAGGTCTGTTCAAATTGTGATAACAGTTCAACTTTTATCTGTTAATTAACTAATATGTTTTATAACAAGTTTTAAATGCATTATAGCTTGATTTCACTGAGGATTATTTGTATACTCCAACTCCAAAAATATTGAGATAATTCTTTGTGTCACTATGGCCCACCTCTATTCTCAAGCATTAAACAACAGTACAATCGAAACATTATGAACACAAAACAGTAGACCATAAATAAGTAATTACATTTTCATACATAACAATCACATGCATATTTGCTGAAGAAAGTCCATATACATTGTTCATATAGACATTATATACAGTATAGAAGTTCCATGCGTTCATAAGGATGTTGTTCAAAATGCATAGTGCACCAGTGTTTTAACGACTATCCAAAAAAGCTTCCACATTTATGTCAGAGCAGGGGGTCTTTAAAAAAAGAAATTCTAATCAGACGTTAAGACAACATCCTTGCATGCAAAGTTAGCTTCAATGTTTAAAACACAAAAATTAATTCATAGCTTATTTTCACGCCTTCAATATCTCCTGTTCATCATGTTTCATCTCCTCTGACGGGGGCTGGCTGCTCGTGCCTGTGTCCTGTCCAGAACTGTGTGGTCTGGTGTTCGCTTTTGTAGAGCGCTGTCTCCTGGTGCCATTTCCAATACAACGCAAAAGGTTCTTGAACGTGGCCCACATCTCTTCGTCTTTGTAGGAGTAGATACAGGGGTTCATGACGGAGTTGAGCACAGCCAGCAGCAGCAGCCAGCGCTTCAGTTTGACGACATTACAGGTGGTGCAGTGGAGACCATCCAGCAACAAGACCACCAACCCGGGGGTCCAACAGAACACAAAAGCTCCTGAGAGAAAACAAAAGAAGAAAAGGTTTAACAGGAGTGTAAATTTGTTTTAATGTCATGAAGATTAATGCTTGGGATTTTGCATATGAGTCGGGATTACCTAAAATCTATGAGTTTTGTTATGCAGTAGATTAAACTATAATAGACACTCACTGCAGGTTAGTACAGGAAACAGAAATGCATTTTGCTCAATATTCAATTGCGTGTTTGGTAAATAATGGCAGGTCGCTGGCACTAAAGCATACAATTGAGACATGTTTGGGCATAAAAGAAATCTCCTTAAGCCACTCAGAGAGCTGTGAAAGAAAAACCACATGCACTAACTTGTCTGCAGCACCAGCATCTTCTGCTACAATGCAACTGCTAACAAAACAAGAGCCATTATATACGGCTTCAAACATGGGGGATTAGTCTCCATTTTCTTCATTCAGTGCATGCACATACTTAAGAAGTGCACATCTGTCCCAGTGTAGACTTTTTTACTTGGAGTAAACCAAAGTATCACATTTTATAAATAGATTTGTTTGTCTTTTTGTAACACATTTTCTTATCTTTTCAATGCTTCTGTCTAAGCTGCTATAACAAAGCATGATTCACATGGCTGGTTTTCTCAAACGGGTTTGTCCAGTTCACCCATGCAGATTGCATTGCATTTGAGCCCATAAATGATTTGTGTGGACTTGAATATAGAGCAGCTTCTTCTTTATCATGTGTACAGTAATGCAAATGCAAACCCAAGCAAAGGCACCACAAAGCATCTGAAAGCAATTGACATGAATGGTCCTTAAGTGCAGGTTGAGCCTTATTTTTTGGGACGGGTGGGACTGCAAGAGGGGACAGTGTGGTGGAGACCGAGCCACACAGGCTGAGGATACAAAATTACACCAACAACATGCAGCCTGAAAATGTCCAGTGCAAATCGTTCAGCTCAAAAAATGGAAAATAATGAGGATGTTTGTATGTTTCATGTAAGTACTTTAAGTTATGACACTAGAGCTGTACATTCAATACCTGGTTTAAGTAAAACCTGATAACGTGATAGCCCTGTTGTTCTTTTCTTCATTATTTCATATGAATGGACTTCAGCAGCCTATCCCCACTATAAAGTATCCCATTACAAACCCTGAACAAACAGAATTCAATAGAGGCATCTCTCATGAGAGGTCCCATGTATTGTACACAGCCTGAAGTATTCAAAAGATTTTAAGGCAACATGTCTAGACTGAGCTATACAGATTTACTAGCACGGTTACTAGTCCTAGATCTCACACATTTATATATGACAAAATATTGTGACTCATAGTATAATCATGAAATGTTAGACATACTAATTAGATGACGAGACACCTACCAAGAACCACCATGACTGTCTTGATGAGCTTGATGGGCGTTCTCTTTCTGTTCATGGATCCACTGGTGTGAGGTGTCAGCATGGACGTCTTCTTCTTTACGTAAGTGTAAATTCTTAGGTAGATTGCCACCATTATAAGGAACAGTAACAAATTAGATGCTGACCAAAAGATGAGGTAGCTCCTGCTGAAAAGGGGGGCAAGTTGGGAGCAATCATTGAGGTTGCAGATGCAGTTCCAACCTAGACTAGGCACAGCTCCCATGAAAATTGAAATACCCCATACAAGCACAATGAGTAAGGTGACCCTCCTCTTGGTAAGGTTGCTATGGACTTTCCAGTTCAAAACGGATATGTAGCGCTCCAAAGCTATTACAAGTAAATTAGTCAGAGATGCGGAGAGGCTGATGTCCAAAAGACCTTGTCGAATAAAGTAGCCCTTGACCGTCAGCTTTCGAGATATTTCACCTGTGTTGAACATGAGATACACATAAGCAATCCCTGCCAGGAAGTCTGATGCTGCAAGGTTGGCCAGCAGGTAGTAGAAGGGATAGTGAAACCTCTTGTTGGTGATGACAGCTGCGATGACCATGGCGTTTGAAACCAGGATGAAGCAACAAAATAAAGAGCCCACCACCTGAACCATGATGAGCTGGGTTTTGTACCACTTGTCATCTGCACCAACATTGTGGTAGAAAAAGCCCATGGACTCATTGTAATGGCAGCTTTGATTGTCCATTTTAGTCTGGGAATGAGAGACAGAGAGTTAGGCACATTCAGGAGTTCAGGAATCTATGTGTAAACTGTAAACAGTTAAATAAGATAAGAGGACAAGGATAAGATTATGAAAAGCAGAGGGCGACTGCTTTTGACGTTTTAATGACTTTCAGCAAAACAAAGTGCTACTGCCAAAGCTTTTAACTTGAATGACCTGCCCCCAAGCTTCTGATAGTAACCAGAGTAACTGACAGGGGTCGAAACAAAAACGTGAGGTCAGAAATTATCTAAGATACTACCATATTGTTAGACAGGTTTGTCATTTAAATATGTATTTTCTTCTTCATAAAAACAAAAATAGTATGACATGAAATAAAATATAACAAACTGATAAATAACAGTGAGACGAAAACTCAAGACATAAAAACAAAAGCTCTTACAATTGAAGACATACTAAAACTATGCCACTGCTCGGCCACAAGCAAACGTATTATTATCTGCCTACAGTGAACTAGTCGAAAAAACACATTGAAAAAAAAAAAAACAATCAAGTCGAGTTTGTAAAAAAAAAATATATATATATATATACTGAAAACTGTAACAAGGAAACACAATTTCCCGTAGCAGGAAAAGGGAATTCATGATCTCAGGTGCGCTTACCTTTCTTGAAGACGTCTCCAAGGATTGTCAAAAAACAGGGATCCCCAAGTACTTCCGTTTAGAATAAAGCTGCATTTTTGTACGTTAAGCAGCGGTGAAGTGAATTGTGAAATGTAAAGACAGACGGAGAGTTGCGACAGAGACAGACAGCAGAGAAGACTGTGGAGAAGTACATTTTCCTCTAAGGCATGTGGAGCGCGATGACGTACTGGGCGTGTGCGCCGTCCAATCACATTCCTCCACTGACAACTAAGGTACGGCGAATAGAGGTAATAAAACGCACAAAGGAAAAGCTGGTATTTGGTGTTTATTTTATAACAATGTAGAGTAAATTATACAATTTAACTTTAAGACTTAAAAGGCTGTTCACCTTTCCATTTTATGTTTTTTTTTTTTTAATGTTACTGCCAATTATGTATAATTTATAGTATTAACCACTTGCTTGTGGAGCAAATAGGCAACCTAGAATTGACACGTTATTCACATGTTAATTACTGAAATTTCCATTGCACCCGTTCTTCCACAAAAAGTCTCAATGTAACATCTCATAGTCAAAATCAGTCAAAATACAACAGATTAACTACTGAATACAAATTTACATGGCCAAGGAACAAAAAATATTTAATTTTCATTTTCATTTAACACCTTTTTAAATGCTCAAACCCTGTTTGAGAAGCCAATATGTAGAAAGGTAAAGCATTCATGTAAAGATATCCACAAACAATAAATTACATATTGCACAAAAAACTAAGGATTTCTCCAAATACTGAAACACTGGTCTTTTGACAATCTGCCTCTTGAGGAAGTGCACAGCTGTCAACTCATCAGGATAACACTGTCATTCTCAGGAACTCTGTAAAACAAACAAGTCACTGTATAAAATAACTTCATGGAGAAAATATTCATGTTAATTGGAACAAGAAATCAGGATAAAGAAAGTTGGGTTATCTCTAATAAGAGCGGAAATAGATAAGTATTTTTCTAATGCCATTATGATTGTCTCCAATATACAGTATGTCGCCAGCTGATTACTGGTTTTAATTACGATTATGGTTTTCTTTTCAGGAAAGTTTTACCAAAACAGATCATGTTTCCATGTTCAAGATAAGAGCAGGAAGTGTCTAATGAATTTCAAGATGTAATTTTATCCGTTAATTGTGAGAGCATGTTGCATAAATTACATTTACCCAGGTCAAGGCCATAAATAATGGCAATTACAGTCAATTGTAACCATGTTTGAGTAGCACTAATAACCAAGGGTCATCTAATTTTAAAGGTCACTAGCGGTTTTCCCCATTTTCACAGAGAAATGATATTTAGTTACAAGTTTAACATTACATACACCCCTTTTACTTCTTATTACGGTATGTTAGAGGTCCGTTACCGGAATTACACTTCCATCAGCAGTTAGATGGAAAACATGTATAGCAAACAAACATTTTAATTATGCATCCCTTCTATACTCTCACTTTTTGAATAATAATGGTGCGGTGGCAAAGGCTTTTGTGGAAATCACCCTTGAGAACATGGGTGAAGTCTCTTTCCTGGAATGAATGTGATGTTTGTGTGCTGTTGGTGGTCGGAAGGGCCAATGGCATAGATTGGCCACCCTGCTTCACCCTGCTAACCCAGGGATGTGGTTCCATAGTAACTCACCACCAGATGAAATGAATGAACAATGTAAAGTGCTTTGGAAGTCTTGAAAGGCTCTCTATAAATCCATTGTATTATTATTATTAATGTTAGTGCTAAACACATTGATGGAATGGATGGATTGAATGAACAATGTAAAGTGCTTTGGAGGTTTTGAAAGGCACTCTATAAATCCATTGCACTATTATTATTAATTAGAACATCTCGGTCTCATCATAGTACAAATAATCTATACTTAATTCATAGTTATCTGGAAGTTAACATGTATATAAATATATTTGGAAATCAAAACAAGAAGTTTAAAGTTTTTTGCAACTGAAACAGAACTGAAAATCCACCTTGGTGTATGGTTCTCACAACTACATGAATATTTAGAGAAACAGGAAAACATCTTGAACCCACTTTAATGGAGAACTACCATTTTCTGTGTAAGACAAACTGTTATGTATACATTGTGAAGTGTGTCAAAATTAGCCTACATAAAATACTTGCATCTACCACCACAGCGAAGGTGAACTTTTTATAAGGAAGGCAACAAAACAAGAAATATGTTGGCTGAGGGACAGGGGCTCCTCCAGCACACAGCCTCAGTTTCTCTGTAATCAGCCCATCACTGGGTGTGTCCACAGAGCTGCCACCGCTAATTTCATTGCTCTCAGACCACGTAAGACCAGGCCAAAACCACAGCATTGGGGAGACGCAGCTCCAGTGTGCTGCCTGCTGATCACAGCCTCACAGTGAAGAGAGAAGCCCCACTGTACAGGAAATAGACAATAGAGCTGATGTGGCAAGAAACGCAAACCTGATATTTTAGGAAAAAAGGTTTGACAAAAGTTAAACAACTTAAGACATATAATGTAGAAATCACATATAATGTATGTAATCATTGAGTAAGCTAACGATGAGGAAACACCAGAGTTGCATTTCAATAGATCCATGCAAGTTTGAGCAACCCTGAGCTTGAGTGCTCAGAAGATTTATATTTTAATCTACCCCCTATAGATGCTCACTACTCTGTACTTTGGATCCTTGAAAAAAAAAAGACTCCAGGTCATAGATATAGGATTAAAAAATGATTCAACAACAAGGCTATGGTGAAATGCTAGTATGAAGAGACAGGGCCTTTCAGTTCGGCAGGAAGTCAGAGGAGGTAATTAGATTTTTGCAGTTTACATGATTTACACATTTCATAGCTTAAAATTAAACACCAAAAATAAGCAAAATATTTGTTGTTTAAAGAATGACAGAGTTAAATTCAATACTACACACACGTATTAAATCTATTGATAACAATACCTTTTACAGCAACACAGGACAGAACACTGATGTCGGACATCTATTAGTTGATGATCGTTCTCTTCTGGGACAGTAAACTCTCTCTGCTCTCTCAAAAACTTCTGCAGGTCAGTCAGTGGGAAGCCATCTTTTTGATATTTCTTTCAAAACATCCAAAATACATAGGTAAATCTTTTTTATCTTTCAGAAGTAGAGAAGTTTACAGGAATCATACCTTGATAGTCTCATAGGCATCTGTGATGAGAGCAATAAACAATGACAGCACCATGTAGATAAACAGGGAGATGAAGGAGTAGAGGTAGGCCCTGCTGAAGACCCAGACCAATGTGTTTTTGTCCTTGAGCTGAGCAAATGTTGTAAACATGTCGTCCCCATTCACCAGGGAAAAGAGGCACTCTGCCACAAGACTCAGCCCCTCAAACTACAATAAGGAATACATACAAAAATAGAAGTTAGTGTTGTGTTAGATAAGCATGATAAAGATGCATAAATATGAAAGTACTAGGGGTGTCAACATTATCTGGTTAGTCAATAGTGTGATTATTCAGGTCACAACAGAATCTGAACAAAAAAACAATAATGGTGACAATTTTATAAGATAAATTAAGTAATTTCATTTCAAAATATACTCCAGAAAAGTAAACCTGAATGTGAACATAACATCACTTTAAGTCTCGCAATAGATCATAACTCAAATTTTATATTATGACATCCCTAATCCCTAATCCTGTATAAGTGAGTCATCTGAGGAAGAAGTGACATTAACTGAGAAAAATTAAGAGGCAGATGGTTTGAGGGCAGAGGCAGATACAAACATTAGAGTTTGTGTGATTGTATCTAAAAACAACATCCCCTTCAACACATGGATCTGGGACACTGCACTTGAAGACGTGTGGGTTGGCAGGTCCCACTACATCCTTTGTTTATTTCAGCGGTAAATACACAGTGCATTCAAGCAGGACTCAAAGGGGGGATCCCAGGCCACTGCTGTGTAAATACTGCATGTAAATTTACATTAATCCCAATGACAATAACATAAGAAGCCTAACCACTTCCTGCCATGCTCACTTCGTGTCATGCCATGCTGCTTGCCTTCACCGAAGCTTCATATATTATCTACTGTGAAAGCAAAGTGAGATTCAAATAATCTTCAATGTGTCTATACCAGTAAGTGCACCAGTCTCCAAAGGCAAGATAAACTACAAGGAAGGCTTGCTGCTTTAGAACCCCCTGGTTTCAGTCAAATCCAGCTAATGCCACTTCATGGGCCTCAGTGCACTATCCTCCTTGTGCACCTACTTATCAAACACCCTCAGCTGGAAGAGAGAGCTCCACATCCAGACCCAGTTCCTGAAGACCACTCACCACCACAACTAACTGTGCCAGCCCAGCCAGCCCTGGAGAGAATAGATGTTCAGGAGAATAACAATACACACCCCTCTCCTCCTTCTGGAAATCCTGACAATCTGAATCTACCCAGCAATCTCACACTATGTGATGGTGGATGTTCAAATGGTCCAAGAGACGTTCTCGTAATTCTCAGGTTTGTGAAACTTACCTGTGGTTTAATTTACTGTTTTTCTGGTTTGAAGATGTTATTGCATTTTAGACAACCATCCCTCTGCTCACACTTATTGTGGGAACAAATTATGTGAAGATCTATAAAACTAACAAGTGACTTTGAATATTTAATTGTAACTGTGGAAGGCTTGGGCAAAATCTGTACCCCGTTTGATCCAAGTCAGTTCCTGAAACATGGATCAGAGAGCTTTGGTTGTTTGTTTGCTTTAAACAGTTGGCTACAAAACATTTGCACTGTTACTGGATGTGGTTTTATAAATAATTGATTTAACTGTGCTCTCCAAGAATGAACCCAATAATACACTTGGATCTTAAGAGAGTAATCAAGATATGTTAGTAAATCGGAAATGTCTGGGGAGTGACACATCTGAATATAAGAAAGCTACTACCTGAATAGATGATATTAACAATATATAAAACCAACCAAATCAGATGTTCTAATTATAACTGAAACTTGGTTAAACACCAGTATAAATAATAAGGATATTTTTCTTGAAAGTTTTAATATTTTTAGGGCAGACTGTTCCACTAAAGGAGGTGGGGTGTCATATGTGTAAAAGATATTTATCCTTTTTCCTTAAACTTTTACAAAAGAATATGAATTTTTGTCTGGAACCTTTACTGGGCATTAATAAGACTGTGCTCATTGGTGTTCATTGCCAATCCATCTGCTAATCACTCAGTGATAGAAAAACTTCCACATTTAATATCTTTATACGAGTCCTCAGAAATTCTGTTCATGGGTGATTTAAATTTGGACTGGCTTTGTTCTGCGTCAGAGGAACTGAAGTCCCATTGTGCGAGTTACATTTGAGACAGTTAATCTCAACACCTACCAAGCCTAATTTTGAAATCCTAGAAAAGTCGACCGTTATAGAAGTAATCCAAACAAATAAACCTCAGAAATTCCAAAGCAGTTGTGTCTTTCCCTTGGATCTTAGCGATCATTGTCAGAAACAAAAAAGTTGCCACCTCGCACAATTAAAAACAAATCTATGGACACTTGAGCAGCATTTTCTAAGTGATTTATATTTCAATAAACTTTCTAAAGTTTGTTCTGTCAAAAGTTTGTGCCATGTCAGAGAAAGCCCTCTGGTTCTATTCTACTATACTACTTAAATTCTGCCAGTATCTATGATGAAAAAGCATAGGGTTAAAATAGAACAAATCTGTGGTTTACAAGTGATGTTTCTAAATTGCTAAGCTCTAGAGACATAGCCTGGTCAAAAGCTCCACACTCTAAATCTCCCACTGACTGATAGATTCTCAGAAAGCTAAGAAATAAATTAGTCAGATAAATGAGATCTGTCAGAGCAAGCTATTTTATAGAGCATTTTATCTGAGAATTTATCCTCCAGTTTCTAGAAAACTGTTAAAAATGTAAAAAGGTGGATTTACATCCTCTTGGCCCTTTAATCTTTTGCTCAACAACATGATTATGTTAGATAAAGACATTTGTGATGTTTTTAATAGCCACTTTATTTAAGCTTGCAATATTTTTAATGGATAAGAATGTAGCAGTTTGCTGACTGAATCAGTCCCTGTGTGTGTGTGTGTGTGTGTATATGTATATATATATATAATATATATGTGTATATGTGTGTGTATACACAGTCCCTGACAAAAGTCTTGTCACTTATCCATTTTGTAGAAACAAAAGCTTATAACCTGACTTTAAATTAATCGATTGGTTTTAGAAATGTCTCATATGAAAGCTAAAACCCTCCCAAATTATGCTCAATATACTAAAATAAATTTGCTTCACTGAAGAAAGATTGATGAATTGAATTGATGAACACAGAAAGGTCAGATTTTGGCAAGACAAAAGTTTTGTCGCCTACCGAAAATTTAACAAATAATTTACTTCAAATACAAAAATATGTTGCATAACGTCAGTGAATTAAGTAGTGGTGCTGTGAGATCCATATTTAATATCTTGTATGACTTCCATGAGCTTGAAGGACGCATCCAAGCGGTTTGACAATGATTCATACAATTTGTTGATGAAGTCATCAGGAATAGCAAAGAAAGCGTCTTACATGCCTCCCAGAGTTCATCAAGATTCTTTGGTTTTGCCTTCCATGCTTCCTCTTTCATTCTACCCCAGACATGCTCAATGATGTTCATGTCTGGTGACTGGGCTGGCCAGTCCTGGAGCACCTTGATCTTCTTCGCCTTGAGAAACTTTGATGTAGAGATAGAAGTATGCGATGGAGCACCATCCTGCTGCAAAATTTGACCCCTTTTATGGTTGGGAATGTAAGAGGTAGCTAATACTTCTTGATATTTTAGGCTATTGATATTGCCTTCCACCCTGCATATGTCTCGCACACCCCCATACTGGATGTAACCCCAGGCCATGATTTTTCCGCCACCAAACTTAACTGTTTTCTGGGTGAATCTTGGATCCATGCGGGCTCCAGTAGGTCTCCTGCAATATTTGCGGCGGCTGTGATGTAATTCAACCGAGGATTCATCTGAGAAATCCACCTTCTGCCACTTTTCCAGTGTCCATCCTTTTAGCAGGCTGTGGGCCTTGGCAAATGCCACACGGTTTTTTAATTGCCTTTTGTTTAGTGCTGGTTTCTGTGCACTGATTCGACCATGGAGGCCATTTTGAGACAGAATTCTACAAACTGTTCTGGTTGACACAGGGACTTGAGGTGACCAGGCCTGGTGGAGTCTGCTGCAGTGGAAAAGGGGCCTTGGATTTTCAAACCAACAAACGGTCCTCCCGAGCAGTTTTCTTGCGGGGTCTGCCGGACCTGGGCTTGTCAAAAACATCTCCAGTCATTTCAGATCTTTTTCTTATTGTTTGTACTTGACGCTGAGACACATTGAAGGTGTCAGCCACCTCAGCAGTGGATCTGGTCTTCAACCTCTTGATAATTAACGCTTTGGTCTCATGGTGGATCTTAGGCATGTTGTCAGAGGTCAAGTTGCAGTTGATGTGAAGGTCTGGTGTGCTGGGGTTCTTTTTATACACACCCACTAATTGATTGATCAGTAACTGATCACAGGTGAGGCTGTAATCTAGGATTGGGTGCATCATATGACAAGGCGACACGACTTTTGTCTTGCCAAAATCTGACCTTTCTGTGTTCATTAAATGATCAATCTTTCTTCAGTGAAGCAAATGTATAATTTGGGAGGGTTTTAGCTTTCATTTGATTAATTTAAAGTCAGGTTATAAGCTTTTGTTTCTACAAAATGGATAAGCGACAAGACTTTTGTCAGGGACAGTAATATATAATATATATATATATATATAAAATACTATAAGAAAATCAATTCATTGATTCAATTGATTCCAAGTTCTTAAAAATAGCTGCTCCTGTTAATGATTATGTTGTAGCAGATATTTTTAACCTTACTATTGTGATAGGTATAATCCTCAGTATGTGGCTGCCTTACGTCACTCCTCTGTACAAAGGTGGAGAAGCAAGCAACCCAAAGACCAATTTCCAAGCTCTCTTCTAATCAAAATTCTACAAACGTATATACAAAAACATATATACAAAAAAAGAGCTTTCAGGTTTGGCAATTCTTAAATGTTAATCATGTTTTAAACACATGTCAATCTGACTTCAGACCAGGTCACTATACCGCAACTGCAACATATACAGTTGTCAACAATATTGTTTGTGCTATGGATCAGACATAAAGCTGTGCTGTCATTTTCATTGATTTATTAAAAGGATTTGACACGATTGATCGCGCCTTAATATTAGACTTAAATCCATTGACTTTGACAGCAATGCATATAGGTTCCACACTTAGATTACTGAAAGAAGCCAGGCAGTAATAACTGATGGGCATAAGTCATCCTTCCTCAAACCAACTAAAGGTGTGGCCCAAGGATCAGTCCTAGGTCCTCTTCTTTTTACTGTATTAATAATCCTGTAATCCTTTAATGCCGGAGACTCCACTACTGTAGATGGTAACCAAATTAATATTCAAAATTAAAGTTTTGCACTTGATGAATCCTTGAGTTTTATTGTTATTTAGATGCATGCAACTGCAGATGATTTAAAACCGCTGGATGCACTTTACAACAATCTCTAAGGTTTATTTTGCAGACAGCTACCACCCTCACTTCAAAAATGGACTCATTACTCAGAACAATAATTATAATGCAAGGAATAAACATAAAGCATTCATAATCATAATAATAATAATAATAATAAAGCTGAAATAAATGTACAGGCCTACATTTTAGTCACCTCTAGTTCTCTATAGAATATATATAATTTTTCAAACTTGTTAACAGCTGATGTTCAGATCTTGCAACTTGCTGCCCTCTAGTGGCACCTCGCAAGTCCAGTTTTATTTGATAAATTAAATGCTCAAAAGATTTGGTCTAATAATACACCAACTATAAGAAAAATCTGTATCAAACTAGTCAGCTGATGTTCCCAATATTGCTGCAAACATTTTTCAGCTGTACTTTTTACAGATAAACCTATTACCTTTTCATGGTACGGCCCAAGTACGATCCAGCCACAAAAGGTGTAGCCCAGGTAGATCATGCCTGCACAGCAGCAAAAGCGCAGGACCTTGGGGAAGGCTGCTTTCATTGTTAAAATAAGCACCTATAGAAAAGCACACAATGCAATAAAAGCCTTGGTTTCAACTGTCAATAGATCCTTAAATAAACAAAAAATACAAACTTACATTGTATTTCTGAAAGTAGCCAAGGTATCTAATAACACCAACCCAGACCAGTAATGTGGAGGTACCCAAAAAAATGCTGCACACATCATAACTGGTCAGACTCTGGACAAAAGACACAATTTGGAATTTGGTTAATAATCTCCAAAGGTCACAAATGCAACTATCAGTATGATGTAAAAATAGATGCATAAATAGCTGATTTGGTGCAGTTTTGAGGTGGCGTTTTTTTTTTTTTTTTTTTTAATATATTATCAAACAAGTACTATGCAACAAGTAACTCACTCAGTAGTGCCACTGTCAAGTTTTATTGTGGTTCAAAGTACAACATGCACTGAATAATAGCCAGCTTAAGAACTTATGTCATATATTGTGTGCAGACTCAATACTAAAATGCTTTTAAAATAAACAGTACAAAGTCCAAAAACTCAAGTTAACCCCTAGTATTTGTAATATGTAAACATACAATAAATAGATATCACATGTGCTTAAAGTTATGGATTATTGTTACTTTTTTTTTTTTTTTGTAATGTTTAATGTATAAAACACTTTACCTTAGCTTGAATTTCCATCTTCAAAATGGACCCAATTATGGTCAAGACGTCACTGATAATGACCATCAGATACCAGCCATTGAGAAACTCACTCTGGTCTTCTTCACAAACTTTGCGATTGTAGTTCTCATCTAAATATCTGGAAAACCTCTAAAAATAAAACAAAAAACAATTGCTTACAATAACCCTTTTCTATTATAACAAGGTAAATTAGTACAAGTTTATTGGATATTACATTAAATGAATTTAATGATACCACTGCAAATGTACTTTGATGGGCTGAACAAAAGGCATCTAATACTTGAAAACACACCCAGCATTAGAGAGAAGATTAAACTACTTAATCAATACAAGAGTCCCAATAATTTCAGAAAATGATTGTGTGGTCTGGATGGCTTTATACACTAAATGATGTTGTATTTAGTTATTTGCAGAGAAAATTATGTTACTAGAATAATTGCAGTCTTAGTGAATGATGCAACAAAAATTGCAATGTCAACCCACATTACACCAACATATACCACATTGACTTTGAAATACATTCACTGCTGACCTGGAGCAACCTAACCGCCAGCACAATGGAGCGGGTGCAGAGGATGGCTGATGTTATACACACCAATATGACAAAAGCATCAAATACCAGAAGATAGTGTGTGTTCTTGTGAGCTGAAACAGAAAAGTCATGTGAGAGGCTCCTTATCTGCTCCACTCACTCTCCACAGACACCAACAGCACCTCCCAACCATGCCAACATGCAAATATGTCTTTTCGTTTGTGATAACTGTATTAAGGATGAGTACGAATTTATACAAGCTTCAATAAAATCTTAGCGTAAAACTTAATGTGATATTGTGTACTGGATGTATGGATAAGTAATAATAAATTAATACAAAAATCTCATGAATTTCAGAACATGTTTGAAGCCAAAATTATAGATAATATTTTTCTATAAAAATACAGGATATGTATTTATTGTAGAGGGCTTTCTGTTATCTGTATAATTTCAGCCTTCACAATTCAGTAATTGAATTTACTCAAATTGCTATATCAATGTTACAATATATTGTGTAGCCCTAATTATAAGCTTCATCATATGCATTTTACCTATTCCTGATATTTTCCAGTCTTTGCAAGCGTAGCTCTTAGCGTCAAGGTCCAAGAAAACTTTGACCATTCCACTGTGACACTGGTTGTCAAATGTTATCTAAAAGGAAGACAAGATTATTCAGTAATTAAGTCTATGTAATAGTTGGTCCACTGCATTAAAATATTTCCTACACTTACTGTTATATAAAATGAATAGCAGTCTGGTAGCTCCTTTGAGCGAACTGTCTGCAGGTTTATCCCCTTCAGTTGGAAAGTGATTTTTATGTCAATAAGCCTAAAGAGAGGGCAGGCCAAAATACATTATGCACATGGTCACTCTCCATTTAACTAAACAGAGATGCCAAAATACACTCACCTGTAAAAATCTAACTCAAAAAAGGAGGAATTTTGTGTTTTCCACTGGTTTACAGTTCTTGGATCATGCTGTAAGCAAACTGAAAAGAAAATTATTATTTTTAAATGGCTTGGGAAGACAAAGTTGATATTGGAGTTATGTGCCAAAGGCACATTTTTAAGTACATGTAAAAAAGTTATGTACAACAAACATATTGGAAAGAAATGATTAATTGACTACTGTAGTGGATTTATTTAAAGTGAAAAGTATAACCTTCTTCAAGATGAGCGTCTATGTCAAATGCTTCATCGGATGGATTAATGCTTCCTCTTCTGTAGCTCTCTTTACAAACTGTTATTGGAAGCAGCTTTCCATCAGTGTCTTCTGCATAACTGATTGGACCCACTGACAACTGTCCCAACTGGCTGTACTGCAAATATGACACATGTCAAATACACAAAGAAATACCAACCAATGCCATAATTAATGAAAAGATACAGTTAGATGGATTCCATACTATAGGCGGGCAATACATTTAATTGCTGATATAGTGAATGTTATTTTAACATGTGCATTTTAAAATATTTGGTATATTGTTTATAATAGTAAATGTTGTAAAAAAAATATAAAAATAAAAATAGCTGATTAAAAATTTAACTGAACAACCTTAAGAAAGGGAATAAAGTGATGGACAGTACCCAATTTTGTGGGTAATTTTTTTTTTTTTTTTTTCATATTTGTCTTAATTAAACCTCAAGATATACAATTAAAGTCATGTTTTCTGTTCAGTATTTTTGGATTATCATTATCAGGATACTCCAAATACATTAAATTATTCATTGTTGGTTAATATCTCCTTTTCATAACACAAACTAAATGTATATTCACCTGATCAAAGATGTAAAAGAGACTGTCATAGACTCCTTGCTGCGAGTACACAGCCACACTGTAGTCATCTGGGTCCACACCACTGTAATCCTTTAGAAATAAGTTTTTGAGGCTCATGGCATTCTCCTCTTTGTATGCTACCACTAACTGATTGTTGAGGCCAAATAGAACAAGCTAAAAAGGGGAAGAAAATAAACAACACATCTTCACTACACTATTGGAGGTGTCAGTTGTTGTATTCAAGGTAAAGTGCTTACCTGTGTGGTGATCATGATTATTTTTAATATCTGAACTCCCATTTTCCAGGGAAAGTAGCGTCTGGCTCTATACTTCTCACAAGGGCTCATGAAATAAAACTTCAAGTCATCTCTAAGGTTTTCCTCTTTGATAATGTCTGCTGTTGTGGTAGAGCTGTGAAGTGAAATAAGCAAAGCGCTACATTAAGAGAACATAAATAAGCAATGCTGAGCAGGGGTCAAAATCACTGAATAAAATGCAGAAGTGAAACAGAAGAACATTTTCAGTCAGCTCTTTTTGCTGTTGAAGCAATATTTCAGAGCTCAGGACAGTCCTCTCTTGGAACTGTATGTTCAGAGCACAGTGACTGCATTCATGTATCTACCTGGATTTTAAGTCCAAGGCTAGACCGAGCAAATATGGGCCTCAGTAGTTGTGTGTTTGGTACACATCTTGATGGCCAGTATCCCACATACAATGTGCCCATTATTTTCAATGTAGCATCAACACGTGCCTCTATCTACGGTCTGGACAAGTGACCTAGGCTATTTCAACGTATTTAAGACAGATTAAATTAAATGGCTGTTTTAAGATAACTATTTAGACGTTTATAGTACATATAGAGTAAAAACAAGACTTAAACTTTGTAAACGCGCTATAATTTCATTTTTTGAACACAAGTTGACTTGACCACAGAGCCTACCTGACAGAGTTGCTCCTATCCAGATATCGGACTAATAGCTCCATTTCTGATCAGTCCAGCGGAGGGAGAAATGTCAGAAACTCGTGGACAGCGCTTCCAAACGTGACTCGACTCTGGGCCACCTCCAGCAAAAAGTGGGCAGAGGAGCGTCGACTTCGACCAATCACAAAACGACCAGGAAACAGTCCGTGCGTGGTTCACAGGTCACTGCCTCCGTCTGCCACTAAGAGATTTATCTTCATACTACTTATTTACGTTATGATGCTCAGTAATGATTTACATGTATATTATGCAGCACTTGTATTACATGGATTAATAAAAAAACACATCAGTGTTTAAAGAGCATGGTCTTTATTGTATAAATGGCATAATTACACTGAATAAAGTTTAGAAACAAGAAAATATCGTTTACAACGGTCATCATTTAATAGAAAAACAATGGACAACATCACATGTTGCTCACCAAGGAACCAGCATAACCATAAACATACGGTACAGTCAATAATAAAAGTGCACCTCAAGAGGCCATCAAGATTTGTAGGTATTATAAAAAAATATTTACTTAATGTAACTGGTCAATTTGACTGGTCAGTGATTTGGCCTCCAGTTCACATTGTTCCTTTTACTGAACTCATTCATTCATCCTCTGAGAACAGAATGTGATACGCAAGTGGCTATCTAAAGCCAAAGAGGGGTGTTTGGCCTGACACCCGGCTAGATTAAAACAATAATTAAATCTAAATCTATACTAGGGGTGCAACAATAACTGAAATCGTGATATTGTATCATCAAAGTTCTCACAATAAAATAGTGGCCCATCACAATATATACTGAATTACAGGTCTCTTTGCTTAAATTAAGAGTCATGGTGCAGCAACAGCTAAAAAAAGACAGAGGGAATTACACAGACCATGATCCTTTGCTCCATTTCAGTGTAGACTACAAGAAGAAATAACAGTTCTAAGCACTTTTAAGTCTTAGTTCTTTGAGGTTCATACTGTGACGATATCGTATCGTGAGACTTGGATATCATTACACCCCTAATCAATACAGATTTGGCATCTATGTGGTCTCTTCTGGTGACGTTTCCTGAACAGGATGTCCAATACTTTCTATTCTTCTAATAGTTTTGGGTAACACATCAGGGATTGGAGTTGTTTCAGTGGCATCTTGCTTCTAGAAAAAGAAAAAAATATAGATTATTTTTTGCAATCGTTTGACACATAATATGCTCAAAAGTGGAAATAGATACAGATAATACAGGCCATCTGTCATTCAGTATAATATATAAATAAAAGAGGTCATATTATTCAATGTAATTTTAAATACATTTTTTGTGCATATGTGTGCTTTTTAAAGCCTTTGATAACTCCAGTGCAAGAATAATGAATGAACTTACCTGAACATCCCCCTTTATTTGTGGCGATTCACGCTTTGATGCATTTTTCTGTGCTACAGTGTCTGGTGGAGTTCTGGCTTCTGTAACTTCACTGCTGGCACCAGGAGGTTTCTTATTTAGTGTCTCTTTAGTTTTAGTTTTAGCCCGAGTTGTATTGGCTTCAGCTTGGTTCACGTTGCCCACTGATTCCGACTCAACTGTTGCCTGCAAATTGGACAGTTCTGAATCTGAGTGAGACTCATGCACATCTGCATCCATCTCATCTATGTTGTGGTCCATATTTCCCAAGTTCTGAACAATGATCTTCTGCCTCTGCTCTCGGCCTCTGTTCACAGGACGATGGCGGACTTGGTTTCCAAGTCTGTCCCCTCCTCCATCACCTTGGCCCTGATGTGGTTGTGGTGACGGCTCATAATATGGTCCGTCCCCTCCTCCTTCAATTCGAGGCACATTATTCCCAGGAGGAGGCTCAAGACGACCAAGTGGATCTCTTTGTGGTCTGCGGAAAGGTGCCATAATGCCATGCTGGAAGACTGCATTCACACCTCCATACATGAACACCTAGGCAAAAACAAAGCCAATGAAGTCAATCATCAAAATGAATATTCACATATTTTTGCCAAAAGTTTCATTTTCACCAGTATGGAGAGCACGATAGTGAGAAGAACTGGAATTTGCAGTTGAACAGGGAGATCTTTAAGAAGAGCTCTAAGAAACTCACTGATTCCTTGGCCAAAATGCTTTAGTGGTTCAGTGATAAAAGTAGTGATGGTAACAGAAATTGCCTAAAAGAACAATTTAATATTATTACTTTTTTTCCCACTACAGTAATTTAGTGTTCAAAAAGATATACCTTGGTTGGAGGCACCAGCAAAATGGGGTTTACCATTAGAACTTCATAGTACTGTTTACAAGGATCATCCTGTAGAGTCCAAGTGCTTCTAAACCACTCTGCAAAAAGCATTCAAAAACAGTACTGAAATAATGTGTATAAGTACATTTGATATAAATATTACATTATATTTTGTTAACCTTTCAAACTATCACTCCAGTCAATTTTCTTTACTCCTGTACATTTTTGATTAACATTGTCCATCTTGACAAGGTTATTTTGGTGCTCTGCAAATGCAATCTGAAAGAAGTACAAAATGTTTAAAAAGCTTAAACAATATACTTCACATTAAAAACAATTCTTAGAGTGGATACCTTATAGAGGTAAAACCAGTTCCAGACAATACTAATCATAAAGCAGACAGCAAATAACCTCTTGAACTGCACAAACCAACTGATGGCTGACCACAGCTCAGTGCTTATGATGGCCACAATCACCAGAAGACAGACTGCAATCTGACAACAACACAACAAAAAGGTTTACAGACACAAATGCCAACTATCAGGGCTTAAGACCCAACACCACAGTATAAAATCTATTTTTTCCTTTGTCCAAGAAAGGAACCAACTAATAACTGTAATCAAGTAGTTTTAAGGTCGACTTTGGACATCTTTAAAAGTCAAAAACCATAACATGATATTCTACCAACTTCCTTACCATCAATAATGTATACAGCTCTACACCAAATGTGTGCTCAAAACGCCATATCCAAGCCTCATAGTCATGTGGGCGAAGATCAGTAAGTATCTGACTGATAGCATTGTCCAGGGCCCCTGTTCTCCAGCTCTCCTCACCATCCAACAAAGCCCTGATCTCTGCCAGGGTCTGTTTGGAAACCTTTATGTGGGCGTCATACAGACCGTCTCCAGAGTCAGTTGGCTGAAAAAATATAGGACATTTATTTATGTCTATCACAATTGTAAAAGAAACTGCAATATAAAAACAAAACTCACCGAACCAACTCTTTCAATTTCCTTGAGGAGTCTGCTGAGGAATCTCTTGAACACTGGATTACATGTAGGTTGCTGAGACAGCTGGGTAATCGTTTTCTGCTGGTTTTCATTCTGAAAGGTACTCTCATCAATCATAAAAAGACAAAAGACTACTAAACGGGATCATACAGTATTATTCCCCGTTTTCACTGACCTGTTTCTGTAAAACCTGCATATGTCGGTTGCATTCACTCAGCTCCTCTGGGTTCTCATTGTATCCTCTTCTTTTGGTTGGCACATTGGGATAGTTGGATGACTATCGAAGAAGAAAAACTAGTTAGCAGGGGAAGCAGCTGCCTTAAACAAATTGACTTCCTTGTTCATTAATTACCTCAGTGGGTTTTCGCATAGTTTTTGTGCTGGCATCGTAGTTGAGCATATCATAAGGATCTATCCAGTCGTCATCCACTGGCTGTTCAGTGACTGCCACAGCCAGGCAGCTCAGAAGTACAATAAAGTGCATTCTGCCATACAAAGAAAACAGATAGCACTTCTCCTTGTGGAAGTTAAAGGCGTTAGCTGAGTATCGTCGTGATAAAAAAAAAATAAAAAAAAAAACTCAAGCTCCCAGTAACAGTAATTATTCTACATGTTAGCATTAGCAGCACGAATGTGAAAGAGAAAGCATGATCTTGATGATAGAGGAGCAGAGTTTTCAGCAACTGCAAAAACACGGCATTGCGACACAGGAGACGCTTTACGGTTGAATCGCAAAGCCCTTTGGGATGTGTAGGCAATTTCTGTGTCGTTGAGCGATCAACCATGGATCATACTTTTTTATAGTCTATGACAAGGATCTACTGTTATATTTCCACGTGATCAACAGTCAAAGTATGGGTCAAGTTCAGTCGTTCAGTTGGTTTTTTTCAGATTCTTTCTAAATCTAAATGAGGCACATGAGATTTACATATTGATGTTATTCTCAGAATAAATTACTCAAAAAAAATTACAAATGTCAGACCTTTGTGACCAGACCTCAAAACTTACATTTCAACAAAATTCATTTTAACAGCCACCATCTGTATTAATATTGACCTACAAAATGCCATCTCATGTGAAACCTAGGAATCGGTTTTATTTCCTATGAACATTTATCAATAACTTAATATTTTTTCATACAGCTACAAAGAAAAGTTTATCCAAGAACAGAATTAGTTTATGTTATAATTTGCAATGTGACACATTAGAAAATTTAAAACTAAACTTTATAGCAAAAATAACAAAATACAGAAAGATTACATTTATTCAACATAGCCAGTATTTACAAATGTAGCAGACAGTTTATACTTTTTCATACTGTACAGCTCAATTATGATACTTGGACACATCTTAAGAAAGACATAACTCTTGTTTAACTTTTGAGTTCATCACACAGTCCAGGCTACAGTAGATGACTCCAGAGCCACAGACATGCTGCTCCATTGTTCAACTAATGTCCAACTTGAATGTGTTGATTGTGTTCACTTTCCTTTGTGTCCTTTGCCACCCTTTGCTTTGCCTTTGCCCGGTCTCCCTTTGGCTCCTTTGCCTCCTTTTCCTTTTGCTCTATGCTATGCTCTTTTTTCTGCATTGCCCGAGTATCTTTTTTCATTCGACCGTCCACCACTTTGAAGACCCCTTTAACACCTGCTGGTCGTCTGACTTTTCTTCCAGCTCCCTTTTTAGCAACAACGTATGTTACTTGTTTCTTCTCTTTACCCAGGCCTGCCTTCTTGTAGATACTAGAAAATGCAAAACATAAAGACTTAATACAGCTTATATAAATGTGCCAATCTATTCTCTTTGGCAGCAGTCTCACCTTTTCAGTTGAGCCATTTTCTCTTTTTCAGAGATATCCACAGTGTTCACAACAGCTTCAGCTTTTTTCTTTGCCTGTTCCATTTTCTTCATCATCTGGTAAAATCATATCATAATCATATCATTCATCATAGTACAGATTTTGTGTGTACAATACATATTTTGATTAAATAATGATCTCACCCTTCTCTTCTTTCTAGCCTTGGCTTCAGCAACGCGTTTGATTGGTCTGGCATCAATCTCTTTCCACTTCTGTTTATACTCTTCTACCATCTCTTTAGTGACAGGCACTGGCTTTTTTCTATGTTTCCGCTCATCCTGCAGGAACCACTCTGGTACCTCCCAGGGCTCATCAGAGCTAGCAAACCTGCCAACAGTTTACGGCATGTTTTATATGCATTTCCTAATCAGATTCAAACATTTGAACCACTAAAACAAGTCAGACATGACATGAAAATACATTACCTATGAAAGGACTCATCTACAAGATCTCTGGCTCTCTTCTTTGATGCAGCAATCTGTGAACCCAAAGCCAAACCTTCTGCATCTAAAATCTGATTTTTTTTACCTAAAAAATTTGAACAGTTGGCAATTAGTTCCACATCTGTATTTGCGAGTACATTCAACAAGTATAAATAAATTTCTTACTAGTGCTTTCTACTGGAACAACTTGAAAGTCATCGTCATCTGCCTCAGCAGACATCCCAGCAGCCCCTCTGGATTTTTTCATCTGTGATATTTGTCTGTAAGCAGGACATTTTTATTCCATATTATTTGTTAGGGGCAGATTTGAGCTGGCAAATCATTTTAATAAATTAATTTAAATGAGCCTACATTTCATCATCGCTGTCATCAGAATCACTGTCACTGTCCTCTACCATTTGCGAGGGTCCAGCTTCTACTAAAGCTGTGGAAACCTCCTTTTCTTCCTTCTCCTCAGCTTTTCTCTTTGTGCCTTTGCCTAGAATAGAAAATAAGTTTCTACAATTAAATACATGTAAATCTTTTTCAGCATGATAAAAATATGTTCAAATAGTGTTACCAGTTTGTTTGCTTTGTAACCATTCAGTGTGCTTCAGCTCGCTCTCTGCATCTCCTTCCAGGTCAATCTCAGAAAAGATGCCCTGAAAAAGTAATGTTTATAAACCCTTTGTAGAAAATGCTTTTATATATTCATTTAAAAAATATGTGCAATAGAAATATGCAATAAAATATAAAAATTTGATTCCCAAATCTTAGTGGAACAACCATGATACATAAACAAGTATAAAAAAGACAAACCTTGCTAAACCACAAGTTGGTTTCTCGCTCTTTCTTCTCCTCCTTATCTTCCAACTCTACCACCAGACCACTTTCATCTCCATCCTCTTCTGGCTCCTCTTCTGCAAATTTCACTCTAAGATAGACATGTTGTACTGTAGTCACTGCAAACTCCAGTAAACAAGATGTATTTACATGTTCTTTACACAAAGACTCACTTCTTCTTTGTAGCTTTTTTCTCAAGCTCTTTTTCTTTCAGGTGCACTTCTTCCAAGTCATCGTCATCAAGTTCAGAAGCCAGGGACATTTTATCTGCTTCATCATCATCGTCTGAAAGGTGAATGTCATCCTCTCCATCCATCATGGAATCAGCTGCTAGCATGTCTCCTTTGGATACATCAGAAAGTACCTGAGAAAGGAAAGATATAGCTGGTTGAGGTAGTCAGTTAAAAAGTAAACTTGCTTAATATTGCTACTGGTCGTACCTTCTGCTTCTTGACAGTCATCAGTGAGAACAAGGATGCATCATTCGAGTCAGCGATGGACACACCAGGCAAGTCCATTTTTAACTCTACACGCTCTCGCTGCTTCCTCCGCTCCTTTAGTATCTTCCTCTTCTTCCTAACAGTCCACAAGACAACATTTTATCCTAAATCTAAGTAAGAGAATGTGTGCAGCAACATGGAAAAAGACTTGTCTGTAAGCCTGACCTTCCAGACAAACCCATTTGCTTTTATAGGCTACAGACTTAAAAACATAAAAATGTAATGTAATAAAAACAAAAAAAACTGTCTAACCTTTTCAGCTCAGCCACCTCCTCTGCCTTTAGCTGAGCCAATTTATTATCCATTTCTTCTTCACTGTCCCCCTGCTCATCTTCCTTTTTTTTATTTTCTTGTTCTTGTTCTGAATCACTTTGTTGTTCATCAGAACTCAAGCTGAAGTAAAAGCAACACATATATTAGGTGTCTGTTGGGGTCAGACTAAAAATATGCAGCATTTATATATTCCTTTTAGTTTACCTGATATCTTGATCCAGTTGCTTTGCTTGCTCTTTAAGTTTCTTGGCAAGATATCTCCTAAGCTTAGTCCTCCAATTTAGCAACAGTCTAGGAATAATTAAATAAACAAAATTAATATAGTCTATTGGTTATACATTTAAAAAATATTCCTCTGTTGAATGTTTGTTCTTTTGTCTTACCGCAGCTCTTTTCGGCCTAACACTTTGATGTCACGACAACATTCTTTGATCTCTTCAGTCGTGGATGCATGACTCTCCAAATCGGGATTGTCAAATTTAATCTGTAAATACATAAAGAGATCAATATAATTTAAACTTATTCATGATCATTTAAATAATAGAATAGAAAATGCACTGACTGAACCATACAATCTTACCTCACTGACTTTGGACAGAAAATCTACAGGGTTTTCAGATTTGAGAAAAGTGGTCACTGTAAAACTATGAAAAAGTGTCAAGTCGCCATCAGCATACCCCTCTGCCTGGAAAGGGAAATGCATACAGTATAATAAGTTACATATCTTTAAAAACACTTATGAACAATGTATTTGAAATTATATGACTTTATTAAAATACTATACTACTAATTATACCTTTGGCTTTTTGTCAGAAACAAGGTCCTTCACAGTTTTTGCCTGGACCTCCACCTCTTTGAAGGCATGCTTAGGGTCAAAAAACTTGTTGTCAATTTTGTCTGGTGCAACAAAACCTGAAAGACAACACAGCTATTACAGGATTCTGAAAACATAAAAGGTAAATACATTTGCCAGCTTACCCTGACAAACAACAAAGATTTCAGCTGACTCGTTTCTTGAGGCCTGTGGCTTTGTGGCCTGCACTTTCTTAAAAAACTGCTGAAAAATCCAAAGTAGAGGCTGGTAGTCTTTAGAGCGAAAAACCTTTGTCACAAAAGTGCCTCCTTTGTTCAAAAATTCACAGGCGAGTTTCAGAGCCATCAGTGTTAAATGAGCTGAAATAAACAAATAGTTTAGTGATTTCCACTGATGTGCATTAAATATTGTTTTTTTCCCATATGCCCCTACCTTGTGAATAAGCATCATGTTGCCAGTTTGCACCCACATTGGGAGCACCATCATTCAGCACAACATCAGCCTTCCAAGTCTGGAGTTCCTTTCTAAGAGCCTGCATAACATAAATTATATGGATTGGTACACTGAGAAAGCCAGACACACATCTTGCTCCTGACACGCCGTTACCCTCACCTGCCTACATTTCTCTGTAGTAATGTCCTCTTGTAGGGTCACAACACTGGGAATAGGTTTGATTGGCACAAGATCAACACCTGTTAAAAGAGCATTTTATGAATGAGTGTATAGTGCAGTTCAAGATTTATCAAAACAGTAGAAAGAATGCCACTCACCAATGATAAGACTTGAAACTGGCATAAATTTTGCTGCCACCTGCAACCTAAAAAATATAGATACTCACTTATGACTTGACCAATATCACATAACAGCCGCTCAAGGGTAAACAAGTAGCATACGTATATTGACAGAATTTGTGATTACGGTTCTTAGAATGTTAGGGAGAAACCTGGTGCAAGTTAACATTTGCTGATAAAAACGCAGAAGAAGCTCACCATCCTCCAGGAGCAGCACACAGATCCACAAGGGCTCTGGCTTTCTGAAGAAACTGGAATTTTCGATTTAGTTGAATAAGTTTGAAAGAAGAACGAGAACGATAACCTGTGAAAATAAAATGTAAACTATTCAAGTATCTAAGACGAGTCGCTGAACTTGGACAAAATATGTTTTGGTAAAAGCTAACGTCAACACCTTTGTGTATGATTTACCTGTTTCTTTGGCAAGGTGGTAGAATTTATCTTTTCGGGTCTTTCCAACTTTGAGTTTCTTCCCCATGTCTACAGCCGGGTGTGTACAGTATAGTTTAATGTAGATATGTATTTACAATTCAAAATTTTCTGTACAGTTACCGACTGGAGCTGAATTGACACAACACGTGTATAAAATGCGTCGCAGAATATCTGACGTCATCAGTTCTCGTCAAACATGCGACTTCGTTAATATTCGCCACCTGCTGGCTGTCAGTCATAATTTTATTCCACATTTTTTTTACATTTTGGAAAATGGAATCGTCAGTATATTTCACTTTTTGGTGCATGGAATGTTTTTAATACACTGACTCTGAATCTTTTGTGCTGCTTAGGCCTAGGCTATATGGTATTTTGGAGGCAGATAAATAAAAGTTGAAAAGAATTTAATGCAAAAAGGATTATTTCAACAACAAGTATTTATTAACAAGTAATTTGGGGTTCTTTCATGCAGTGCCCAGTGGTCAGAAAGGCCTGTTCCTGGATCGTGTGTTGATCAGTCCCAGGACAGAGAAGGCACTGGCTGCGGCTGTCACCAAACTGATGGCCCCAATGGCCCGTGTAGCCTGTGGGGATAGAAAGAACAATATCCTGCATTTTACTGAGGACAATGTTATTATTTTCTGTAATTGTATCCACAAAGAAATAAGCTATTATATATATATTAAAAAAATAAGTTATTATATGTTTGATTTAAATTGTTTTTCTTTATAAGGTCAATGAGCATGAAAAGCAAAGTAATAATAAACAGAGAGAGACCTGTTCAGACACCCCTTCCCCGTAGCGCAGAAGAGTAACAAAGTGCTCGCAGTTACTTCCCAGCAGGTCATAGGAGACCTCCTGATCAATCAGCACCTGTGCTCTCTCGATGATCTCACATACAGGCAGCGGAGTGTGATTGTGGTCATATTTGTTGTTCACCCGATATGAGTCACTTCCAACCACCTCTTTGAGTAGCTGCATGCGTACCACTGCCTTTCTGCTGAAGACGGACTTCACGCTGGACATGGCTGCGGCCTGGCTCTCATCTTTGTAAGAAGAGCATGGGGCAGAATGTTTTTAAAGAACAAATCATTAGTATCCAGTGAAAATATAATGGATATAAAACATGATAGGGAAATAAGTATGTATTAATGTTCGGGCTTCAATATGTCACAAGAAGCACTGAAATTGGCAGGTGAACTCACCAACAGGAGTTAAGTTGATGATGTAACCATCTCCCAGGTAGAGAGCCCAGTGCTGATAGGCTGGTCTGAAGATCTCAATGAGGTCACCTGGCTGGGGGTCACCAGGTGGGTCAGGAAGGTCAGGGTCATTTGAGGCCATCTGTAAACAATGAAGAGTATATTTTTTTAATATACTACAACTATTAGTGTATTTCCGTGACATTTAATTCAAACAAGCAGTGAATCCTTCTACAAGTGTGTGGGCCTACAAATACAAGCTATTTCAAGTATGACAACAATGACATTATGTTACGCTCTCTGATGAGACTGATAAGTGACAGATTTTAGGCAATAGACACAATAAACTCACAGCAAACTGTTGTCGTTTATCCATCCCACATCATGCTTCCACAAACACTGTCAGAAAAAAACAGACATCATTTTACACAAGCCACAATCCTGTCACCAGTGATATTTTGAATTCCAATTTGTCATCGTACAGTGGATCATACAAAGTAAACAAAACTTGGAAAATCAGAAATTGTAGGCAAATGTAGGCAAAATGTATAGACCATTAATTGAAAGAAAAACCTCAACAACCTCAACAATGTATAGACCAACCACACACACATACACACACAATACACACACAACACACACAGACTATTCACTCTGGCTCTTGGTTGAACTACAATGGCACTGACACAATGAGGAAGCTGACAGAAAAATAGTTTCCCCTCGAGTTATTTTTCAATAAAGATTTCAAGTTATTGGCAGTTAATGTTGCCAATATCAGTATCAGTATCATATGTCAGTGAGAGTCCAACCATGTTACATCTGGACAGCAACATTGGTCCAGGGGAGCATTTTGCTACACCTCATTATTAATGGAAGATAGTGCATGCTGAAAGAAAGCAGCCACATATAATTTGACCTGTGTACCAGCTAAACTCGGTAAGACAGTTCAAACACACACACACACACACACACACACACACACACACACACACACACACACACACACACACACACATGGACATCAAATTGCAATGTAACCATTTAACATACTGTATAAGATGATGGACAAATTGAAATTGTACTTACTCAAACACAAGCAGCTTTTTCTTCCTCACCATTTTAATTATCCATGCTCAATCCACATATAGCTTTCAAAAAAAAAGAATATGTAGTAGTGTAGTTATATTATGTTAAATGTATTCCAAACTAATCCAGTAGGGTTGATAATATTGTCAATATTCCAAAGCCAAGTTCCAGACTGGACGTCCTGAGAGAGTATTTCGTGTTCACAGCGCAGAGTGATTCTGACAGTGGACAGGTCACACACATCCACACAAAGAGGCGTTTCCTCTTTTCCATTGTCCCATTCACTGATTCACCTAAGTTTTGAAAACAATATGTTAACAACAAGTTACTAAATATAGCTGAACCTAAAACATATAACCAGATATCATTAGATTATAATGAGCACTGTAACCTTTCTTGAGGGCTTGGCATCTACTTGTCACTGTAGAAATGTTAAAGCTTTGCCTGTAATCTTTTACAGTATTATTGCTACTGTGACATGCTTGTCTCCATACAGATGGATAAGTTTAATGTCATACTATGGAACATTCCAGGCTACGCATTAACATCTCCATGGAGACTATACTCTCAAAAACATGAAATGTTGACCCTATAGCCTAAATGTACCTTTTTATCCTTAAATATTCAGTTTCAACCTAAATTAATGTAGCCTATAGGCCTATGTGAGTTATTTGAAATAAATTTGAAATTAGGATATTTGCTTTAATTTCATCAAATGGAAGAGTGAGAGGCATAAAAAAAAGTGGCATAGGATATTTAAATAGAGTAAGCATTTCATTGTTTTGTGTCATAGTTTTGTAGTGCAGTAAGCATTTCATTGTTTAGCCTTGTCCAGTGCATTTCATGACCTTCCACCAGAAAGTTGCAATGTGCACCTTTAAGTGGCTAAGGCATTTGTCATTTCACCACTGGTTGCAATGTGCACCTTTAAGTGGCTAAGGCATTTGTCCACTCTGGAATGAGAAGGATACTGAGAAATAAAAGGCCAAAAGGAAAATCAAAGAGGTAGCCTACTTAAACAAGGTAGTGACCCCTACAAAGAAAAATTCAACTGAAAAAAGTTCGATCCTTCTTTACACAACATTTTTAGGAGAACTTCTCAATGAAAATGAACATGTGCACATGTTACACTGTAGTAACCCCGGGGCCAAGGGCGGGGCCAAGGGCGGGGCGGGGTGAATTCCTTGCTCTGTGATTGGCTGTTCTCGGTCTGCCAACCCTTTCGTCACTGACCACACTCCTTTAGTCAAGTTCTTGGTGATAAAGTAAACACACACAATCCAAATTTATAAAACATAAGCTAATACTATTTTATGGTCGATTAGAAATGTATCACCCAAATACTTGTTTTAAGTCTGTTTCAACAACTCAGAAAACCATAAATATCATCGCAGTAACAGAATAGTTTTTATTTAATATTGTTTATTTGGCATTGTTGTTAACATAAGTGCAAGTTGGTTCAATTCATTATTTAGGCTATAGCATTGCCACATTTTTCTCTCTGTACTGAATATGAAGTTACTTAAAATATAAAGTACACTTCAAAGTAAATGTAAAGCACTAAATAATAAACGCAGCTTTTGTTTTGAAAGCTCATTTCCTCCGCTTGCTGTCAGCCGCAGTTAGCTTGGCCAGTGCCACTTCAGGTTAAAAAACAAGGTTAGTTGTAGTGACAGCAAGAATTTTAACTAGAGAGCAATCAATTAATGTTGCGGTGATCGAGTGTGTTATGAGAGAAGTGTCCTGTTTATAAGATACGGAGGTAAGCTAACATTAAGAAAGATTTATGAGTTGATGCTAGCTTAGCATAGGTTTGCCGCTTTGCTTTATCGATGTAATACATTGTAATGGCTCTACTTTGCGTGTTACATGCTCGTTAGATAGTTTCTTTGGTAGCATCTTAATGAACATGTAGATAGATAATACATTTATTGGTATAACAGCATGACACGAAAAAGCGGTTATCCACGCGTCCGGTGTTACTGTACCATGTCGTTTCTAATCGTAATTTGACATGTCTTTCCGAGGGGTTGCATTCATAATAATTATTCAAGACTTGTGACTCAAATAGCCTTTGAGTCCATGTGAATTTCGTTGTTTGAAACCCATTTGCTTGGGTGTATAATAGAGTGTTACAAACTGCCTTGTTGTCACTTTTACTTCTCATTCTGATGGCTTTAGAAAAGACTATTGGATACATCTTTTGTTGTAATAAACAGTCATAAATACAGAATTGAGTATTTGATATGAAAACACTGATAACCTGAACGTAATTTTCGTGTGTAACTGTATTTGACCTTTCACTGTCCTCAGATCTGTCAGAATGGCCTCAGCCCCTCCACTCAGACGAACAGACTCGGCCCGTGGGGAGTTTTCCCCATTGAAGCACTTTGTGTTGGCCAAGAAGATGATCAGTCAGGTGTTTGAACAGCTACTGGATTATGTCAAAGAGACATCTGCATTTGTTGAAAGTGAGAAGAATGACTTTTCACAAATTTGTAAACTGTTGATTTTACTCTCCCTAAATAATTACTTCACTTGACTTGCTTTGCAGAAACTTGTGGAAATAAATCTTTGGAAAACATTGCAAATGAGGACCAAAAGTTAGAGATTCAAGCTTATGCTGACAAGCTGGCAATTATAAAGGAGGTACTAGCAAGAAGACACATGAAAGTGGCATTTTTTGGCAGGTATGCCCATTTTTTGTTAATTTAAATCAGCTTTACTCAATCTCATTCTATATTGCTTACTTTGTAATATAATGTAGTCATAACATGAATGAATATTCCCTCTGTCAGTACCTCAGGGCAGATATCCCTGCAGAAGTAATGGAAATCTTGGACGTTTGAGTGTCTTTAAAAACCATTGTATAAGTTAATGCATTTTATAATTGTCTTTCATTTTTTAGGACAAGTAATGGCAAAAGTACTGTGATCAATGCCATGCTGCGGGACAGAGTATTGCCCAGTGGAATTGGACACACAACCAATTGCTTTCTAAGTGTGGAAGGTACAGATGAGGACAAGGCTTATCTGAAGACTGAGGGTTCTGAAGAAGAAAAGAGCATTAAGGTGACAAAAAGTTTATGTTCAAAATGTATTCGTATAAACAACTTTTAAATGAGCCAAACTCTAAAAAGGAGCCTTCTCAAACGTACCTGTGTATACTCTGGTGTTACAGGATATGGAAAAACATGTCATGTAACACCAGAGTACAGGTACACCTTACCATGTTTACACTATGGAGCTACACCAGACATGTTTCACTTAAACCACTGACCAATATCTGGGGAAAAAACATTGAAATACACTGACATGTGCTTGTAATGTCACTTTTACACAGACTGTTAACCAGTTAGCTCATGCTCTGCACATGGATGAGAGCCTGGATGCTGGCTGCCTTGTTCGGGTCTTTTGGCCCAAGACCAAATGTGCTTTACTTAGAGATGATTTGGTGCTTGTTGACAGGTAAAAGATATCACACAGATCAATTTTTATCTTTATTTAAATCTCAATTTTTAAATTTTTTATTCTCGACTCCACAGCCCAGGGACTGATGTTACAACACAGCTAGACAGCTGGATCGACAAGTTTTGTTTAGATGCTGATGTTTTTGTTTTAGTTGCTAATTCAGAGTCCACTCTTATGAACACGGTAAGAACATTTTTGTGATTGGTTAGTGTATATGTAATGCAGCAAAAATAAAATATACTAGCATCATAAATATAAATTATTGCCATGTGTTGAAAACAAACTATAACATCAATAAAATAGAGTAAATGCAGAATATGCTACATACTTTTATTTGTGCCAACACCAGCCTAGTTCTTGTTTGTTCCCCTGTGGCATTTGAGCAATGTAAACTGGGGCTCAGCCTCTTAACTTGAATGCCTTTGTTAAAGGGGCCACAGCTTGCTCATCAGCCGCTGATTAAAAGTAATATTTTTATTTATTTTTTTTAATATATCCATCTAGGAAAAGCACTTCTTCCATAAAGTAAATGAACGATTGTCAAAACCAAACATCTTTATTTTAAACAACCGCTGGGATGCCTCTGCAAATGAACCCGAGTATATGGATGATGTGAGTTGGACTGTCCATATTAATTTCCCATCCTTTGCCATTGGTGAAAAATATTGTATTATTTAGAATTCATTTTTGTGTTTATACAATAGTGACAGAACATAGAGCATTGTGATTATTAAAGAGCATTTGTTGCAGGTGAGAAAGCAGCACACTGACCGCTGTGTCAAATTCCTGGTGGAGGAGCTGAAGGTTTTGGATGGTGAAAAGGCCCCTGACCACATCTTCTTTGTTTCTGCCAAAGAGGTGCTCAACTCCCGTATGCAACGAGCACAGGGCATGCCTGAGACAGGTAAGGGCCCTGCCACGATTGTTTATAATTATATTAAAAGTAAGTCTGGGTAGTGTGCATAACACAGCAACCTTAGCTTGTTTCTATTTCATATATTTTGCTCAACAGGTGGAGCATTGGCTGATGGTTTCCAAGAAAGACTGAATGAGTTCAAGTGCTTTGAGAGGAGGTTTGAGGTGTGTCTGGGTGTCTCAGGACAATACACTTCAATCTATTTCTCCCTAAATTGTCACTGGTACAAAAATCTAGTGGTTGGCTGATCAAATGCATGTAGCTACTTTAAGCTGGTCTTGACGTTTGACCAGATTTTAGTTAAGTGATTAATTTGTCCGGAGTACTATGTTTGTAGTTTCACTCCAACAGGAATTTTGACACTCAAGTGCCTTTTCTCTCAACCTGGGTCTTCATTGCTGAAGTCTAGATTCACTTTGGCGAAGGCTGATTTAATTTGTTTCATCATAGATTGTATTTTGGCTCTTGAGTTCTTTTGTGTTTTTCTTATTGCTTAATTTACATAATCAGTCATTCAGTTGAATATTTCTTGTTTTTATAATTTCTTATTACTGTGACACTATGTTGGCTAATGGACACAAGATGTACAACTGCTACAGCCATTTTGAAAGTTTCAGTTTCTTCCCGTTTCTCTTTTGTTAACGTAGCAGTTATCCATCTTGCCTCTGTTTGTCCCTGGTAACAGTCCAGTTAGTGCAGCCCTGCAAGTGTCACAGTAATGTGTGTGTTATGGCCTCGCAGGAGTGTATCTCGCAGTCAGCAGTGAAAACAAAGTTTGAACAGCACACAATCAGGGCCAAGCAGATCACTGAAAAAGTCAAGAGCATCATGGATGCCATCAACATTGAGGCGGCAGAGAAGAGGTGGGAAACAGTTTCTTCTTCTTTTCATGCTTGTTCAAGTGAGCTGGTAAATGAACAGTTATTCCATAAAAATGAAGCAAGTCTTTTATAGATATCTTTTACGTAAGTAACATGATATTTGGTTTGGGGTTGGGTCTTCAGAGTGGCAGCCCTGGAGGATCGAGAATACCAGATGGATCGACTCGATTTTGTTAAAAATCAGCTGAACTTACTCATTGATGACATCAAAAAGAAGATTAAAGCCATCAGTGAGGACGTTGAATCAAAGGTACTGCAGCACCACATGTGTGAATATACAGTACACTCATTAGATAACAGCTTTCTAAGTCACTATATTGTACCATGTAGGTTTCCAGTGCGATGGGTGAGGAGATCTGTCGTCTACATGTAATTGTCGATGAGTTTCATGGAGACTTTCATCCCTCACCTCATGTTCTCAAGCTCTACAAATCTGTAAGTGCCTGTCCCCAATGCTTTTTTGGTGGTCACTTTGTGTGCTTATACTACATAATGAAATATGCTGTGACATGGCAATCTTACAGGAGCTACTGACTCATGTTGAGGAAGGCATGGGCAAAAACCTGGCCTTCCGCTGCTCTGATGCTGTCACTGCCTCAGTTCAGTCTTGTCAGAGTTACATGATTGGTATGTTTTGCTTTCGCTTTCAACTTTAAAATGCGGAGCTCAGTCATGTGATGCCACAAACTCCTAAATCCTGCCTCTTCTTAACTCTAGAGAGCATGCTTCCTCTGCTCCCATCTTCAGGCCAGGGGCAAATCAACATGTTGGTGCCCAGTCGAAAATTTGATCTGAGTTATGATTTAAACTGTGCCACAATCTGCAGTGACTTCCAGGAGAACATAGAGTTTCAGTTCTCTTTAGGCTGGTCAGCATTAGTTCACCGTTTCTTGGGCTCTGTCAATGCACAGAGAGCCCTCAAAATAATGGACCAGAACTTTAAGGTAACTAATATTAAGTTAATACTTTTATAACACACTTAAAATACAAATAAACAGCTTAACTGGTGTCCATTTTGCAGGCTTCTCAACCAGCGTTACCTCCGGCCCAGACCCCTTCCTCAGGGCCTCCCTCCATTGCTGGACCACCAAACCAACAAACAGCTGTAATGACACAAGACGACCTAATGCTCGCCATGGCAACAAACGTGGCATCCCTTACTTCCCGCACATCTATGAGCGTTATTGTTGTGGGGGGTGTGGTATGATAGTTTACATTACCGAAATTACAAATGTCTGACATAATCAATGCAAATATAACCTCTGATTTTGTGCATGTTTTAGGTCTACAGAGCAGTTGGTTGGAGGCTCATTGCTCTGACTGCCTCTCTATATGGTTTGCTGTACCTTTATGAAAGATTAACCTGGACAACAAAAGCCAAAGAGCGCTCCCTAAAACGCCAGTTTGTGGACTATGCTACCGATAAGCTGCAACTGATTGTTAGCTTCACAAGCGCTAACTGCAGTCATCAGGTCCAACAGTAAGTCTTTGTGTTAGATCGGTGTGTCTAACGTAGGGTCCAAGGGGTTTTGAGATAAGGGGTGACAGGGGCTCTGTGGTTGTGCATGCTGTGCCCTTGGGCAAGACACTTAAGACCCAGTATATGTACTAGTGTGTGAGTGATTGGTGGTGATCCACAGTGATGGTGCAGATTGGCAGCCTTGCTTCTGTTAGTCTACCCAGCCTACAGAATATCTTGCCACCAGAGTATACTGTGAATGAGTAATGAGAAGACTATTATTGAATGTAAACCAAACCAGCTTGTCATTTCCCAATCTGGTCCCTTAAGAAATTGTTTACCCCTCTTTTTGAATGAGTATCACCTTAGATAATTGGTTCATGTGTGTTCAGTATTGAGTAATGAGCACACATTTTCTAAGTCAAGAAAATGTTGCAAATACAATTAAGAGTGCCTTTACTTTTTTTTTTATTTCCAGTTAAGTCATTTGCTTGTGGAATTTCTGTATGAACAATGTTTTAGTCCACTGGCAGAACATGAATGTACTGTATATTGACATTGTCAAATGCTGCTTCTTCAAACCAGTCAGGGAATCTAGGTTTAGCTTCTACATTAATCTCACTTCACAAGACAAAAAAGAAAGAAAGAGAAAATATATCTCATTCAGGTAGTTATTGTTAGTCTTTTGAAGTCTACCTGAAAAGCATATGGCCCTCATTTACATTACCACCAGGTGCCCCTCTGTATCCTAGTTTTATGACTGTCCTTTTTGTTACCAGGGAGATGGCTACAACCTTTGCTCGCCTCTGTAAGCAGGTAGACCAGACACAACGAGAGCTGGAAGTGGAAATACAGCGACTTACTGTCAAGATAGATGAACTGGAGACGGTGCAGAGCCAGTCCAAGATCTTACGGTGAGTTCAGCCCCTCAATGCCATTACTGAATGAAATTCAAACAAAACTATATATTTTAACCAAAATTGATTTCTTCTTTTCGCAGACATAAAGCCACAGAGCTGGAAAAACAGTTGGAGACATTCACAAAACAATACCTGCAGCAACAGCAGTGAGAAGTCCATAGAGATCCAGTCAATCAGTGGAACTATTTATTTTTATAATGAGTTAAATATTTTTTGAAAATATAAAATCTCCAGTCTCTCTAAAATAATGTATTTCCGCTTGTTATTTTCTTCAAGGTTGTTTTCCTTCTAAATGTTTTTGATATTTTTTATAGATAACTTCACGTCTTGTTTGTTTTTTAATATTCCCTACTGTTTATCCTGTCACATTAGAGTAGAACAAATCTATGATCAGCAGAAATCACAAGGTGGCACTATGATTTCAGTTGGATATTGTACCGAGTGGTCAGGTGCTGATTTGACACTAATCTGTTTGTAACTGTGAATATACCTGTGAATATGCCCGTTTGACTTGTTGAGCCAATGAGCTATGAAGTTTAATAAAGTTTTTCAATAAAAATGTAAACCAGAAAAGTCATGGGAGGCTAAATTATTCAATGGTATTTTTGAAAGGATGTGAAGGTTCACACATGGAAAATTGTGCATCATTCCATTATCTCAGTAGATTGTAATGTGTGACACTGGTGCATTTTCATAGAATGGAAGTTGGAACACTTTTCCTGACCAGTATGTTTTTGGGGTTTTGGGTACCAATAAGCAAACCACTTTGTTTTTGAGTGTAATTTTTTGCATTAATAAAGACTTTTTTTTTTTTTTTGTAGCGGAGGGGTCTGTCACCTGCTTGTTTCCATGGAGATATTATAGCTTTGCCAGCGATGTTCCATAGTATGGCATTAAACCTCTCTCCCCATAGAAACAAAAGAAGGTGACGCCACCCGGCCATGTACTGGTTCAGATCTGTGGAGAGGCAGGGTATTTCTTAGCAGTAAAAATACCTGTAATTGAATAAACAGCAGGCAAATTTGATTCCATACTGAGTAACATTCCGGACAAAGTAAATACTTCTCCATGGAGATGTGGAGGTGGCAGACCTACCACTAAAGTTACACTGTGCACCTTAAAATGGTAAAATACATTCATACACACAGACACATTTATGGTTAAAAGCTTTTTTATTGGTTACAATTACTCATGGCAACATATCAGTATCACCAAGCCACTGTACAAATACAAAAAGGGTCTGGTGTGAAAAAGACTATAAAAATTATTCCATAACAAGTGATTACACTTATCACACAATAGCACTGTAAGATTATCATGGCCATCAGGTCCCTGGTCTTTACTGGCTTAATACATAAAATAAATAATACAATGTAGAACGATGTAGAATAAAAGGGCAGTGCTTAATCTGTGATGGTGCTGCGATGGTAAAACATTAACAGATTTTATACTTAGTCCTTAAGGAAAAATCAGATAAGAATACAGACGTCTTCAGTGTATTCTTTAGAATCAGCTACTGAAATCACATTAAAATTAAGCACCTTTTCATTGTGTTTAAAATGAGCAAAACAGGCACAATTTTAAGTTAACTTTTGCTAATACTTTTTAAATTCAGAATACAGTCATTAGATCTGAGCCACTGTCAGTTGATCGACAATGCTGTTAAAGGCTGTGGTGTCTATGATGTGTTTTGTCATGTTGTAAAGCTATTTATCGATTAATCTTTAACTCTTGGAACAAGCACTGCAGAGGTGCTTATGCTATATACTGTATTACTGCTAAACAAGGGTGTATACTTCAGTGTCAGTCACAATAATAATCTTTTTAATGCCCAATATTCATTTAGCATGTTACAATCTTAGACAGAGATTAGTCCATGTATCTTACTGACCTTAAGATTATCATCAAGATGGGCCCAAGACAATATAGTCTTAAAACATCATGTAAAAATTATCCCAGTTGTTAGCCCATCTGTTCAGCCAAATACTGGATAGTGCGTAAAACTTTTTTTTTTTTAAAAATGCCTGGCACTTTCAAGTTCACAGCTCTGGTCTGTGGACGGTTTTGGCACAAATGAAAACGTAACATTAAAAATCACAGATATAGATGATGCACACTTCAACACTTGCCATGCAATACATTTCAAGTATTACATTTCAAAGGAAGTTTCAGGCTTAAGTCTACAACATTCACTCGTGGGTGTGTCATGATGCTCAGAGCTGCAGATGTTTCTACTGGTATGTTTAGTGTTCATTAGTATCAGAATGTTCCTCTAAATAATAATAGCACATCTTCTTGTGTATATTTTGTATGCATCTGTAAGGCAGAATGGGGACACACTGGCAGTGCCATATCTCAGGAGTACAAACACTCCACAAACACAAGATCATAGGAGGCACCTGAGACAGGATGTTTAGGTCCAACTCACACACATATAAGTATTATTAAAGTGTTACTTTTTGAAAATGGGAATAAAAGACAAAATATAAGACTTTTTAATACTGAAAGTCTACTTTCAAAGGAACAGGTGCTTGATGATATAATGATAAGAGTGCATTTCTAGCCCTCAACTGTTTTATACATTTCTGTCAGATATAGGAATTTATTCTACTATATTACCAGTTTTAATCTAATCTCATACATTTTAATAGAGACCCTAACATACAGTAAATGTAAAATAGTGGAAGTATGACATATGCCAATACCTGTATTTGTATTAGTATTTGTCCTGTTCAGAGTTTGCAGGACTCTGCACACTTTTGTAGACTTGTGTGACAAGGATAGATTTTTCATTTTGTCAATTTAGGCCCAGTTTAACTGATAAACAACAGCATAGTGACTATGCCCATAGAAAGGGGTTATTTGACCTATACTGTTTGAGTTACAAATCACACATCTTTTACATTTCCTAAGTTGTGATGATACAGTCCGGAGGAGCAATTATTATTCTGTAAAGCTTGATACAAATTTGACCCCTTCAGTTTTTCCTTAAAATGTTAAATCATGAATTTAGCTGAATTATTCTGCAAATAATATGCAAAAAGAGGACGAAAAAAACATTCACTGTAATAAGAAGAAACTGGATACAAAATGTATTTTACCTATAAACCAAAAAAACATCAAAGAACAGGCCTGATTATCAACAATACCAGAAACTTAAAGTGAAATTGTACATTGCAGTGTTAAAGGTTGTTCTGGTACTCACACGGATAAATTAAGTTTTTTAAGAATCATTTCTGAAATAATGTTGTATATTATTATGGATATGTACATTTAAACTAAACCCCCCAAATCATAAAAATGGGTGGGAAATAAACTACAAAAATATATACATACACATTATATATGCATATATGATGCATATATACACACATAATGCTATACATATATACTGTCTTTATATACATTACATATTACACACTGACAGTCAACATATTTGTTGTTAGTCTCAGTAACAAAGGCTTGTTTTACCCCAAGGAAATAATGGTAAAAGGGCACGTTTTAGTTTAACCATTGATTGGTTACCAAAATGTTTAACTCTGTTGATTCTGAATTGACAGGTGAAAAAGAACATTATTTATAAAGGTTGAGTGAGTTTGTACTTCCTCACAGGTTGTCAGCAGCAGGTGGATCTCTGGGGTAGGTCAGATCATGAAAGCTGACTCGGTGTATGGCCGAAGAGCCCAGGCCAACGGGGGGGGGGCTCCAGGCGCAGGTGGGGCTGCAGTGGTGAACTTCTTGGGCAGCGATTGAGTACATCAGGATCTTTTAGTTCCAGATCCGGAGGAAACTGTCCCAGGAACCAGTGGCTACTGCCATGCCATCCTCTGTAACCCCTAAGCAGCTCACTCTGTTGTCATGACCAGCTAACACGCCTGCAAGAAAACAGCTTTTGTCACTTCCTCAATATTTAACACCTGAGGAGTCTGTGGCCCAAAGGATGAAACTTCCCTCTAATTGTTTTTAAGAGGGTTCATTAGTCATACCTGCACGTTCTCCTTTCAAGGTGTCCCAGACGTTGCAGTTAAAATCATCGTAACCAGCCAATAACAAACGACCACTTTTGGAAAATGCCACAGAAGTGATTCCACAGATAATGTTGTCATGACTGTACATCATCAGCTCCTGGTCAGCGCGAAGGTCAAACAACCTGCAGGTAGCATCATCTGAGCCTGTTCCAAAGGCGTTTCCATTGGGGAAAAACTGCACAAATAGGTCACAGTTTTATTGATATATAGACAGATGTGTTTGTGTTAGTATTCAGATAATTCCCCTATATAAAACACCTATAAACTGATCTATAAAATATATTTGAAAGCCCATGGTTAAAGGGTGGTACTCACACTGACAGCGTTTATATCAGACACGTGACCAGTGAATGACTGCCTGCACATGCCATCACGAATGTCCCACAGCTTTGATGTCGCGTCACAGGCTCCTGACACAAATGTTTTATAGTCGGGACTTAGTGATAGACTCATCACATCCCCTGTGTGACCTGTAAATGTGGTGGCCTGTTGGCCAGTTTCAATATCCCACAATGCACTGCAAGAAAAATAAAGTTGGATAAAGAATTATTTACAGTGTCAAGTAGTGGTATTAACACTTTTTTTTTAAGTAATTTATTCAAATAATAAGTGCTCATTGCTCACCAAGTTGTGTCCCCAGAGCTAGTCAGTATTTGGTTATCATCCAAAAAACGGCAGCAGGATAAATAACCTGAAAAACAATAAAAATATGATTTTGTCACTTATAGTCAAATGACCAGTGCAACTGGAGTGTGTGTTCTTTACCTGTATGTCCAGGTAACTCTCTGGTGACACGCACATTGCCCTCACGAGTCTTCAGGCTGTAAATGGAGCAAATATTGTCTAGACCTCCACAGGCCACATAGTTCCCAGAGGGGGCATAGGCACACGTCATCACCCAGGAAGAACGCAAAGGGATGGCATGCATCTGTGGACAGTCAAGTTTATGGAAGTCAGTCTTTGAACAAATATTGCAATAAATATCTACACACACAACAGCAGTACACCATCTCACCTTATTTGTTGTGTAGCTGTCCCAAATAATTAACTTTCCATCTTGAGAGGCACTAACAAGTAACCTGGGTACAAAAATAGAAAGGCTTAGATGTAATAAAAAAAACAGGTCGCACAGTGTTAGACACTGTACATTCAAAAAGCCAGTCTTAAGCAGTGATATGAATAAAAAGCTTTGAAATCCTGTTTGTCATGCAGTTGGATGGTACCCATGTCCAGCCTCTCTAATTGCCTGGTGAGCCAGCCACTCCTACTTTCTGTTTGAATTGCAGGCACATCTGGGACTCTACTCACAGGAAATAATGCATCTATTTTTTAGCAATGTATTTATAAGATATGTATTTGTACCATTTCACATATGCAAAAGACATTTCTTTTTAAATACCTTCATATCAATCAGAACAAAATCAATAACCTTTTCACCTAAGATTAATAGCATTTTTTGTTAGCTTGTTGTTTTGGCAAAGATCTGCACAGTTTTCAGGTTAACTTTTTAATTACCTCAACTGTTCATAATAAATGTATTACCCAACTTTCAAAAAATAAGAGGAAACTTGTCAAATGGAGTGTAAAGGTCTTAAGATGCCAAAAAAAAAAAACATGCCCCCACAGGTTTATATCAGTTACTACGAGGACAGGAAGTGGTTTGACAGTGCTACACTACAATCAAGGGAAGGACCACCAAACTCAGTGACTGCATAATGTCAGTGGCTGTATACAAAATAAACACTGGCCTCCTGCAGGGTCATCCACAGGGTGCTAGGCAAACACGCACACGCACGCACACGCACGCACGCGCACACACACACACACACACACACACACACACACGCGCGCGCACACACACACACACGCGCGCACACACACACACACACGCACGCACACACACACACCAATCGGAAAAATACAAATTAATACACATCTAAAAATATTTGAGGCAGACTGATATAAATTAGGAAGAAGACAAATCAGTATTCTTCATCTTGACCTTGAGGACTTTCAGTCATATTAAGTACAACTACTAAGAATAAAAGTAAAAATAGTGTTAGCATTTTTAGAATCATTAATCTAAAAAAGAAATGTTATTAATTATATATATTATATATATATATATATATATAATTTGTAAAGTGACATGAAAGATGTAGCAGTGAAAGTGCCAGTGTTAGCTGTAGTGGCAATACAGTGGTGGTAGTGGTAGTATTAGTGGTAATAGTAGTATTAGTAATATTAGTAGACTCAAGTGATACTAGTAACCGTATAGTCCCACACCTGGGACTGCCGTCACTGCCCCAGTGCAATGCATCAACAAAGAAATAGGAAGAACATTGACTTAACACAGTGGCTTTACATTTAGACTGGAAAATCTATTATATCTGTTCGTATGTATAGTTACAAGATAAGGCACAGTACCTGGAGTCACTCCCCCAGTGCATTGCATAGATTTTGGCCAGGTGTCCCCTGAGAGTGCGTCGCGTCCTCATCTGTATCCGGCCAACTGAGTCCAGGCCAGCTGTGATCTGCCAAAACAAAGGAAGAGCATTCAACTATAAACTACAGTGTTTACATAAAGGAATGCTCTGTTACTACTGTTACCATTTTTATTTTTTTACCTGTGATAGAGTGGAATCACTGCAAGCTTTTCTAGCATCCTAAAAACATATTAACAATAACAATATTATTATCATTACATATGACTTGATCACCACTTTTGGACATTTTATATGAAATGACTGAACTAACAAAACACAGAAACTAAAAGAGGCTCACTCTGATCTGATTGCGTAGCTGTTCAGCTTCCTGTCGCAACTGCTCCAGTTCACTCATTGTCACTGTGGGGTGTTCGGGCCACTCTTGTCCAAATACTGACTGGCACGGGAAATCACTCGCGCCCCAACACCTGCAACACAAGCCAGAACAATGTAAGTCAATGGTAGAAAGAGACACATGTAAAAAGTATATATAGCAAAAGGATGGGACACTTATTTCTCAAACATTGGCATCCTGTCCGGGACTGAAGCGTGTGGGGAGGGGCAGGGTGGGGACGGGCGGAGGCCTGGAGGGTGGTCTGAATCTTCAAACAACCCCAGTCTAGTTCAAAAGGCCATGTGAGCCAGACCCTGACCTTTCCAGGCTCAATCTGCCTTTGTGTTGTGGCACTGCACTACGCTTTGCTCCTGCCATAGAGCTTCAAATGTACAGTATGAGATTCATAAGGCAGTCCAGATGTATATATGCCTTCATGTGCATCGGGGCCTTCATTGTGGGTCATTGGCCAAAAACTCATCATATTCATTGAGTAATTTTGTGGTTGTTCAGCTATTGTACAGTACTCATCCTTATTTTATAATTCAGAAACTTAACAGTTTAATAGCTAACAAGTCATACAAATGTTAAAATCACTTGACTGTTGATACTGATTCTTACTTATGCTTAGTAAAAAGGGGTCTTGGACAGCAACAAGGCACGAGAGAGACAAAAAGCATGTCTGGCTCTCAGCAACGTCACTGCCTCCTCCAACTGACGCCAGAGGGGCTTTCAGCGTCAGTCCACCGCTGATGATGTGCGTGCATTATGATGATCTTACATCTTTTATACCGTATACCTCAGAAATACACTGTATCAAAGAGCTGATCCTGCCCTGACATTCCACTTGTGTCTATTGCAGATCTACATTCAAAACACATGACAAGAACTGACTTTTTATTTTGCAGTTTAATTAATTATTACTGAAATGTGTTTTTGAGTGACAGTACACTGCTGACATTAACTAGGAATGACAAGTTGTTGTGTGCTTTGCTTTTTACAATTCTTTTTGATATTTATAAATGGAAAAACAAATCTATGAACACTGACTATATGAAGAACCATATACATTCACTCATGTAATGAAACAGGAAATATTATTTTGCTTGTATAGTGACCTGCATTTTTCATCTGACAAGAAGCATCACTGTAGCATTCTGACCCCTCAGAGGTGGTCTCCAACAATAATAATCAAAACACATCCAGGTAGCTCTTGCATAGTGACATGCTTTTTCTGTCATGGTCAGAATCACTGACCAGCAGCAGCTGCAGTGCCACAGAGTCAGACTAATTTAACTGCAACTCAGTGCTAAAACCTGTTCAGCTTCATACTGCAGACACCAGTCAATAGTAGTTTAGAAGTAGTATTTGTAACCCGTGACGGTTACATGCAAATTTGAATTCTTCAAAAATTACCAATAATTGAAAATGGCTATGACTGTGGTGTCAAACAACTGGTGGAGAGAGAGAGACATTGTATAGTCTGTAAATCTTTAAGTCAACTAAGCTAATTAACACAGAGTGTGTCATAAACACTCCCATCCGGAGTTTAGTTAGTAGACTGGTCACATTTTTATTGAGTTGCTATTAATGTCATTAATGAGCTGCAGGCAAACTGTGCAATAGGAGTCAGAAGCAACAAATGTGCAATCTGCCACAGGATGGGCTGCAGACCTCTCCATTACAAACACTTGACAAATGAGTCTCGATTTGACACAAATTTGATTAATTGAACAGCCCCAGTAAAATCTAAGCAGCTACACAGCAGAGGAAAACAACAATGAGGGGATGCAGTGAACTAAATAATTATTTTTCACATTATTTTAACATTACAATAAAAAGTTAGCACAGTTTTAATAGTAACTTTGTCGTTGTGAGGTTACCACAGAGCTTCATAGGCAAGTTGCTGTACCGTGTGTGAACCTGTTGAAGCCTGACCTGTTAACTATTGCAAATATCTGCAGAATGGAGGAAATGCCAGGTAGTTCCCAGTAAGGCAAAGCAATTTCATAAACCCTTATAGGTTACTAAAGATAATCTAATGAACACCAAACAAATAAAGCAAAAAAACAAAACAAAACAAAAGGGATTCAAGTGATGGATTAGACAAAAGAAGGCACTAAACTATACCGACTTAGATATTGTATACAAAATAAAGTGCCTTTATCCACTATTCACATAGCAGGCCATTATTGCATGCTCTCATTACGAGTTGATACTGATATGAGGTTAAAGTTAGTTTGCCATTTGTAGGATAAAAAACGCTTTGGAAAAAACGCTGCTAATAGATAAATTAGAATCTTGTGTGAATTAAGTACATTGACACACATCGTTACACAAGAATGATGCCAGCAACTTCTCTCGCTAGCACTCATATTTATAATACCAAGTAAATTAAACTTGTGCTGGTTCTTCTTGCGCTCATAAAAAAGAAAGAGCTCAAAATTTACAAGGTGAATCATTTGTGAATATTAAATCCCCAAGGAACACGCAGCGCAGAGAGTCGTGCAAACAAAACCCAGAAACTCCAAATGTGAAATGAGCAGATGTGATTGTGGCTGGCTCATGGGCTGGCTACACGAATGAGTTTCCTGCGTGTCGCGTCGTTTGACAGTCCGAAAGGCCGCGTTTTGATAACGGTATATTTCTCCAGCTGGGTTAACATGACAAAATACAATTGGGGTAATTGTTGTAATGTCAAAGTATTACGATCCAACGTGACGTTATGGAAATACGTGTTACACTGCATATAATATTTTGGAACTCAATAATAAACCGTACAAATGCAACAGGAAACAGCAAAATGACACAAATATCAAGATATCTGCGCGTCTTACCTGAATCAGGCTTTCGACTCTGTCCGCGCCTCCAATCCGTGCCACACTGCTCCGTGTTCACACGACAACCATGGTCCTAACTGTGAAGAAAACCGTAAATAAAGTACAATTAATCTAGGGGCAACTATGGCAGTTTTAATGATCCTGAACGCGACTAGCCCGGTTGGATTTCACTATTTTTTTTCCTCCAAGCAAGCTAATCACCACACCCATGAAAGTGGGAACATGGCAACAGCCTACACTGAGGGGTGCGTGCGGCTGAGTGCGCGAGTATTTTTGAGTTTTTAATCATCCATTTCACGCACTTTCAAGTAAGAAAACTATCTATAACTATTTGTATGGTTGTGCCTTCACGTGTTTGCAATGTAATATCTAATCTGTCCATTTTAAAATAGTTTTGATTTGGTTAAGTAACCCAGCACGCAGAATGGTATTGACTGTCAGCCCCCTCAACAAAAAGGAACCGAATAGGACACAGGAAGCCCATAGTACTGCTAGTGATTCCTTATTACAAAAACGGCAACATTCTTTTTAAACATTTTATGTCTTGTAAATATCTGTAAAGCACTGGCAAACAGAAAATTATCAGAAATCACAAAATGCACAGGGACAGTTAATCATTTTAATTTGTAGTATATCACGATTTGGAATTACAAATAGAACTTTGAGAAAATAGAAAAGTACAATTTAGATTTAGATTAATGTTATAGCAAGAATAGCCAGTGTGAAATCACAATACATTTTCAAAATTAAGAAATTAAAGACAACTTTAAAATGTGCAACATTAATTTTAAATGGCCACAAAACCTGCCATAGCAGAGAGGACAGCTGTGCAGAGACTCACTCCTCAGTGGGCCTGCAGTGGTCCCATTGAAAAGGATCTCTCCCCATTAGGACAGGATGAATTTTTAATGTGGCCAATGAAAGGGAGCAGTGGGATAGGCTTTTCCATATCGCTGCACGAGCCACAATCAATGATGGCAAGATGAAAGTTACCAGGGCCTGGTTTCCTTTCGGGGAGGCATGGGGTCAGATTAAGTCTAATTGAATTCACACCCTAAGGTGTGTCATAGGCCTACTCATTTTAGGGAACAGGCTGCATATATATGATTCAACTTTTTATTTTCTGAAATAAAATAAAACTATGTCCAGCTGTCTTACTCCATAAAGAGTATTGAATTCATTACGCTTCAGTGTCAGAGTGGCCAAAAGCACATTCTCGGCCAATCAGGTCCCTCAGCTCATTGCCTGGCAACCAAAAGGAGAGGGAGGGAGCAAATTGTCACTGTAAAAATAGCCCATCAATAGCCTGATGTTTGAAAAAACCAAAGGCACACATGTTTGTGACTATAAATAGCTCCTTGGAGCCCGGAAAGGTATCATGTACAGTGTTGCCGAATAGAGGAAATATTTGCATGAATGTAAAACAGGTGGAGGACATGGATAACGTGTGATACAACATTAACTTTAGTACGTTAGTATTGTAACAGCAATTTTGTTCAATATTTTCTGTTACATTTTATTGGTAAATTCATTTTTTTAAATCTTGGTTCTTTAAAGTTATTGGTATGTGTCTTGAGAAATTATTTTTGATTTAATCAGTTAACTTTGAAATACATCAGCAAACTTCATTAAAACATTGCTGATACTGTATGTCCATGTTTGAATAGTCTTATTCATAGTTCTTACAATAGGTGTCTGAACAAAAGTACTGGAAAGCTAATATCAGTCTGTGATCTATATCAAGATGGATGGATGTAACTTTTTAATTTACACATTTCTCTGCTCAGTCCCATCTTGTGTGCAGATACACAGACACATCCTGATAACCTGCATGTGATACTCTGACTGTAGCAAAGACAATTAAAGTTGTAGCAACAGTACAACCTTAAAAGGCTTTATCAGGGCCGTCTTATCCACCAGACATCTCCCGGGGAGGCTGGCCGTTGCCTGGGCAACCCTCACAAATGGCAACTGACGTCAAGAAGGTAGGAGAAATACCAGGGAGAGCCAGAGCTGCAGTGCATAATGGATTATTGAGAGAAGGCCCTTTTGGAGAGTGCAGAGAGAGGCTCGTCACTACTATCACTCTTGTCAAATTTTTCTTATGCCATGAGTACAGATGCAGTCTAATTTAAACCTCCAAGTGGGCATGAAGAACTCAAAGAAAAAAACTTTATAAGCAGGGAATAGGGCAGATCAACTGGCCAAATGGGGATATATTTTTTGAATAGACAAACATTAGCCACTTACTCCATTTGGATTTTCTACACACATATTTCTACATGTATTTTACCTTCTCTGTGTCTGACTTGCTGCTATATACATTCAAATTGAGTAGTAAAATACTGAGAGAGTAAAACTGTACTGGACAAAGGTCATGTTACACATAAAAAGCCTTTTATACTTTTAATTGTTTAATAAACCTTATTTTATTGCATGATTTATGTACAGATTTCCAGTGGGCACGATTAACTGTGTAATCAAATTATGTTCTAATAAATATTGGGTTCAAAGTAAAAGAAATTCCAAATGAGTGAAAAAAAAGCTAAGCACTGTTCATATTAGAAACTGATGAATAAAGTAAAGAATCTTGCTGATTACATTTACGCCCCGATAGTGACCATCCTTTCCCCGGGCAGCAGCCTAATCTCTGTGCTATTGTTGGATCACGGACTCTCAGGGTGGCATTTCTATGAAGAGCTCTCCTTGTTTCTGTGATAATGCTTTTCATGTAGTGCTGAGAGTCACACTGTCAACTACAGAGGCACAGTGTAAGTCAAGTTTTGTGACGACAGCTGTATAGTAGCCTACATAGCTGTAAAATAATTGAAAAACATTAATTTAATTAATTAGCAACCACTAAGGATGTGTTCAATGATTTTGCTGTTGTGAAGAAACTCAATGACAAGAGGTATAAGTAGTAGTTTGGAATCCTCTGTTTTGTAAATCAGATGTGTTACAACTACTTTAAGCATAAATGACCATGCTGTAACTAGGGGAAAAGATGTAGTTTTTTATTAGGCTGTTATCATAGAATTGATAATTGTAATACTGATTGCCCCTCCTATTCCATTTTCACAGGTTTTTAAGTTTTTACTTTACGTCACTACACAAGACATGGACACACACGCACACAAAATAACAAAACATTAACAAGGCTGATAAAGTACCTGATTCCAGCACTGATGATTGGCAGAGGAAGTAAAATTTTCCTGGTTATGTCCTGAATGGCTGAATGGCATGAATTATGGGTGGTGTAGTAGCCTGTGGTATTGGCTCTCTGCTTGAGTGGAGATGCTGTTAGGAGGAGGATCACTAAAAAGAGAGACAGAGCTGGAGTATGAGCAGCAGAAAGGGAGGGCGAGCTTATGGACAGGGTAGCATTTCTGTTAAAGGGATAGTGTGTATTTAGCCACTATTTTACAAACCTATCAACCACTACTTATAGTCTTGAATGGACATAATAACTACTATTTTTTTAACAGTACTGTTAGGGATTTATTGTTTGAAAAAAATGCTGGCCATATGCGTGTAAATGAAGTATTTTTATTGAACAAATTTCACAGCTGAAGCAACATTACAGTCTGAATTGTTAAATACTTTCATTACATAATGTCTACTGAGATTATTGTTTAGAAAAATAAAGTGATTTATTTACTAGATATTGCTTTGAAACACACAAGAACACTTTGACCTTTTAGAAAATTTTAAACCGTAATTTTAAATTCAGTACCACAAACTGTCAATTGCCAAAAGGAGATGTAGTGAGGCACCCCAGGGTGTATCCAAAGAAATAATAATGCCATTGTTCATATATTACATGTACTCTTTTTTTTCCACTGTTTAAAAACTTGCAACAATCCAGTTTAGCATTTATCTGAACTGCTTAATTTGGAGGTAACCAAAACCAGAAGTGCTCTTATTGTTTTCACTTGACCCTATTTAAAAAAAACAAAAACATTTCTACCAGATAGTAAACATTTTTAAACACTGTGGCTGCAGGTGTTAAACATCTGATAGATGTTTTTCATGGTTTACTCGAACTTGATTCCTTGGGCCAGCGGAAGATCCTTGCTGTAGTTAATTGTGCATGTTGAACGCCTCATATACTGCTTCCAAGAGTCACTGCCTGACTCTCTTCCTCCCCCGGTGTGTTTCTCCCCACCGAAGGCTCCTCCAATCTCTGCTCCACTGGTAGGAATGTTGACATTCACAATTCCGCAGTCAGAGCCTTTGGGCCCTAGCCAGCGGAAAACACGACCCATATCTTTGGTGAAGATGCTGCTGGAAAGGCCTTGTTTAACCTCATTGTTCCAGGCAAAAGCCTCTTCTTCAGTGTTAAACTTCAGAACATAGAGGATGGGAACAAAGGTTTCTGTGTGGACAATAGGAGCGTCATGAGCCAGCCCTGTTATGATAGTAGGCTCAACGTAGTTACCAGGACGGTCCATCACTTTTCCTCCACAAACCACAGTGCCTCCTTGCTGCTTGGCCTGCTCAATGGCTGCCAGATACTGGTCTACAGCTTGTTTGGTATGCAGAGGCCCATAGAGAGTGCTGGGGTCCCAGGGATCTCCGATGCGGACTTGTTTGT